AGACGTTGTTGTATTAATATGACATTATTTATTGAAATTTCCACGATTATACTCGTATAGTAGTGAAACCAACTTTGCATGCTCGAACGAAATCTTGGATCCCAATTTATGAAGTTATAAACTTACTTTGTGACCAAAGTATGGGCAAACCCCAAGTATCGTAGAACCCAATGTAGGCCTGCCGATTACACGGCTACTATTTTAGCCGAACTGAGCGACTTTCTTTTCTTAGGGTAGGTTTAGAAACTCAGGTTTAACATTACTGATCAAATTATCTAGAATGATCTTTTATTAGTGATCTTCGATCGTTTAAAGTCGACCGTCTTTACTATTTTCATCAAATGCACCAAGCTGCTAGTATTCTCCTTTTTATGCACAACCTATACAGTGTTTGAAGTTGGCACTACAATTGATTATCCTCAACGCAGAAAGTACAGGTACAAGAGAAAACCTAATGTCCATCGCAGGTTTGAAACTAGATGTTAACAATAAAAATTATTACGCTTACCCGAAGTGATAAGGAGTACAAAATCAGTAGACATCCGTTGCTGCCTATCTTTTGCTGCACCGGAGGATTTTGACGCTGCAAAGGTCACAAACAGCAGCAACGCAGGGACACATAAATTCGCGAAAAAACGAACAACCATTTTAATTACAGGGTAGGGGAAAAACAGCGCACAATCAGTTAAACTCTAAGTACTCGAAACAATAAATCCTTAAATCACAAGCTCGATAGTAAACTGAACTAAATCATAAGCAAAACTTCAGAATTACCTTGCTTATATTCACACTGAAATACTGGCACCAAGCATTTTTCTCTTAAAATTTAATTTTCTGGTCCCACTAACCGTTGCTACCGGTAATGCTGACTGCGCTTCTGCCGAGTACCGCTACCGCAACCGAAGATATTTTTGGGGAAAAGATTTTCAAGTGGGTAAGTGTGGCTGTATTATTGAGTAATATTACTGGAATGGGGGCGACTTTAGTCGGACTAAAAGAAATAATTATATGATGACAGCAGATTTTAGGAAAGACCGATCTTCTGATCTCAGGTATACTTTTATGCAACTCTGAAATTTGGCATGTACGTACGAGTACGAGTATTTGTGCACCTACCACCTGAACATGTTGCTTTAGAAAATAAATATTAAGTGGCAAACTCTGCGAATTTACACATTCAAGTGTTTCTGCAAGATGATGCTAATTAACTTGTTCCTGTATTTCGTACGTGGCCAAAGATATCAGTCGCGTAACAAGGCGCCAGAAACACTACTTTAGTCCCTGTAAACTTTTGGAAATCAGAAGCATATCGAACGCACATCCTTTAGGTTCTTTACACTGTAAAGAGCCTAAAGGATGTGCGTTCGATATGCTTCTGATTTCCGACGTACGCATTAAACGTGAGCCAACGCTGAGGCCAATACTTCCAATGATACTATTAGAACATAATTGTTAACAAATTCTTAGTTTTTGCTCGTTGATGTAAATGTTGCTAATAAAAGTATTAAATATTACCGAATAAACCTACCCATAGTAGTAGCTTAATCAACAATTTACAGTTAAAATTAGCCAAACTGTTCACACTATCGTTATATGGTACGTAGTGTTTTCACATGAGATTTAGCTTTAAAAGAGGTGGAAGTGCGCTGAGTTTGGTGGACAACGATTTTGTTGTCAACATAAATACATAAATCCCGGAAACTTATTAAAGGAATTGGAATAAGCCGGTTTATGGCTGACTGGCTGAGCATACTAATAAATTTTGTAATTACTGCTAGATTTATTTTGGTCTAATTTCATAGTTTTTTTTTATAATCAGACATTTTAACTTAAGTATAGTATCATAAATGTTGACCATACAGTATGCATAACTGCATATTATACAACGTTAGATTTTTTCAAAGGCAGCATAATTATGTTCTTAGGCTTATAACGCCAACCCAGTGTTTTTCGTGTCATGACACGCGTCTGGCATCGGCAGAGCCCGCAGAAGCTAGGTACATTAGGCATCGTTTACAGCTTCCACTGATAAAATCCAATTTTACCGTGTTTCTGATTTCGGTGGTAGAAAAAACCCGACGTTTGTGGCAGGGGATAAAAGGTGGCAGTGGCACCTGCCACTGGCAACTGCCACCGGCAGTGGCAATTGCCACAATGTGTTCTGGCAAGCGATAAAAAGTGGCAATTGCACAAACCACGTCTTCTCACGTTTGTTTTAAGTTGTCTAGGTTTTCTTTAGTAGAAAGTTCGGTAAAGATGATGGGACTGGCAGTGGCTATGGACCTATGGTAATGTTCCGATACATGAATAATGTGACAGCACCAGATTGTAGTTTTTCCAGTTTTAGTTAATTAAGGTTTCTTAGTTTTTTGAGGTTTCAGGAAATCATTTAAAAATCAACAAAAATCAAAGCTCCGCTAACATTTAGTAGAACTGCTACATAAACTTATACTGTGCTATGCATAAAAAGCAATTTTTCTGCTTAAAAGCAAATTAATAAAAAAAGCATGATTTATTGAAGCAAATCTGAACCGTGGAATACAGGTAGCTTACACTCTTAGAAAGCTTAGGGCCTAGAAGACTTCCGGTAACCTTAGCAAGAATAAAAAACCTACGAAACCTGTCAAATTAAGCAAATCTAACCAGATTTAAGTAACCAGGAAGTCGAAGAAAACCTCCAAACCTAAGTCAACGAAACGGAAGGAAACATCAAAACAAAACAAACGTCATGATAGCGGTACGGCAGCCGCTATCAGCCTTATTACGACAACCAGCATCAGCGCCATTAAGATTGCCAGCGCCACTGCCGCTACCACCACCAAAACCATTATCCAAAACTAGAACCACCTTTTTCGGTTTTCCGTTGCTGTTAGATTTTTTGCGTTTTAGGTTTTTGAGATTATTGGGTTTATTTGGTTTCATAAATGTGTAAGGTCTTAGGCTTCTCAGGTTTCATCAGAATATTAAAATCGATAGTTTTATGGGCAATGCTTTTATGGGTTTTTTTTATGTTATTATGGGTTTTTATATTTTCCAAGCGATAAAACCGGGTCACGTTAGCTGCTCCAAATTTAAAGAAATCTGACGTTTTTTGCAGAAAAAGCGGAAGTTATACTGTTTTTGGCAACTGCCACCTTTTATCGCTTGCCAGAACGCATTGTGGCAGTTGCCACTGCCGGTGGCAATTGCCAGTGGCAGGTGCCAGTGCCACCTTTTATCCCCTGCCGACGTTTGTGACTTTCCGGGCCGATTGAATTTACCAGTGCATATCAAGTTTTAGTGCAATATCCAAATGCTCTTATTAATTCAGAGAGCAGCGTATACATTAAGACTAAGTGCCAACAATCCAACAGAATAACCACAACAAAATAAGGTTATATCAGCATACTCAAGGCAATGCAGCATCTGTCCTTGGCACGATGGACGAAGTGGATAGTTTAAATGAAGTTTTGCTGTTGTGATTAATATAGCGTGTTTCTTTCTTTATTACCATAACTGTGCGATGATTATTAATAAAACCGACTTCTCAAGGCAATGATCGACATAAAATGTCCAACTTATCTATACTTTGGCAGTTTCCAAAACGAAGGGGGGTGCTTCGATAGCAGTACTCAGCCGCACTCATGCGAGCAAACAGTCACACTAGCAGATATTCTCGCTACATCTTGCGGCATTTGTTGCAAGGCTTGTTTTCCACGCCGGGAAAGCATTTTAGTGTTCATGACCCCTGAGTTCACTTCATGGTACAAATATCTTGACCATCTATTACCAAAGATAAAAATAGTGACACTTGTTCGTTCATGAAGTCAGGTTCATCGAATGAAAATTCAAAAACCAAGCGCGTGGATATTTTCCACCGAAAAATAAACAGAATTGTAAAAATCTATTTTCGGTCGACGTAATATACCAGAAGTACACTAAACAGCTTTTTTGAGAAAGATGAGTTGAGAAATATCATTATGTCGCTTGCAAAAAACTTGAATAGACGAGGTAAGATCGTAAAAAAACTTGCTTCATCATATTGTTGCCGTGTTCTCTATGAACATATCACACACTGTATATGAACGCTAATGCCAAGTACGGTAGAACTTGTCACAAGCGTCCTGTCGTGCTTGGTCCGCGTCGGTGCCCTTCCATATCCGGATGCTGTCTCTGTCATCGCCTTCCCCAGGGCTGCACAGAAAAAGTGCCGCTGCATTCTTCAGGAGGCTGTCGCTGTGAGAGCCGACAATATGCTGGATAAATGCTTTCGGATTGCCGGTATAATCACAATTCGGCGCTGCGCACGGGATAACCCGATCGTCGCAAATCCTCGTATGGTCCGCCAAGTTCCCTCGTATTACTTCAGCTTGGCAAAAGTGGCATTGGGCAGGAAAACTGGTGATCAGCCGACGCGCCAGATGCGAAACCACCGGGTAAAAATCGTAGTCTCGGCAACTGGGACAGCGATCGTTGCGAAGGCGTGATACACACTGGGAGCAGAAGATCTTATGACAGCACGTCGCTTCCATGGCGTTGGTGGCCAGTTCCAGGCAGATCCCACATTCTAAATTCCCCACAATTGTGGCGTTCATGGCTTGCAATTCGTCTCCCGACACTAGTGAAATTATTCTACAATAATCACGCAACGTTTTTAACTTAATACGGCTTTTAACTTAATACGGCCGAGCGTATATACTGATGAGTCGTTTGCGTTCGACTAAATGATGTGGAGGATTTTCATATATAGTACATAGAGCAATAAGTTCTGACTGCCTGTTATCTACTACATCTCCCGTCGCTCGGAGAACAACACAGCGTCAAATTATGTCATATACCCCAACGTGCCGTTTAATCAACCTTTTTGTACTGTAGGAAACTATGCGAGCGCTCTTACTAACGGCTGTAACAGTCATTTCCGTCAATGAGCAACCGGAATCAAGATAACGAATTTGCTTGGTATTTTTCTGCAACGTCCGGCCGCCGTCAATGCTCACAAGGCTATGATTAGCACAACGATCCTTACATATTCCGGTAGTTGTTTACAACTTGTGTCGAACAGTCCTGTTGCACAGTGGACATGTTGCATAAACCTTGTTCAAGCACTATTCTTTTAAAACAACAAGCGTACTTAATGCTGTATAAGTAAATAAATAAACGCGGCACGCTACTTGTACCTACTAACTGGCATAACGTTCGTGGTGATGGTTATCGGAACTGGAAGCTCGGAAGTGATGCGATCTTATCGATGGTGTTTTTGTAATTAAAGCAAGGCAAAATTACCACGAGCATGCAATTTAGCGTAAACACGATTGCGTACACAGATTAGTTTTGATACTAATTACAAAATTTTGCATATAAATACATTATGCACATATGCATGACGATCGTTTTTACACCGAACCAAAGTAGCGCAAATTTTTCAGGTTTTTAACGAAATTTAAAATTCAGTTTAACAACATCATGCATGGGCCAAACTCTGGAGCATGAGCAATATTATTTTAAATGAGAAATGAATCTATTATAAAGGCACAGGATTGCACCAACACACTAAACGAAAACCGCCGCTGGACAGGTTTGTTAGTATAGACGTGCACACCTTCTCGTTACCGGACAATTAAGGAATAATAACAGGAGGCTAGGAGCTGATGATAAGCGATTAGCGAAAGCTACAGATTAGGTTCTTGTAGGGAACAGAGTGGACCAGGACACTTTCTAGATAATAAGTCATCGGCCTATTTCTCGAAAAACTCGGAAATCTTTTTTATTCCTTTGGATGAGGATTTTTTTGGCAAGGAGTATGCCGAAAAGTTACCGAACACTTCTGTTGCGTTCTTTGTCAGTTTCGTAATAGGACATTCCGATACATCAGTATAGAATTTCTTGCAGTCCAAATATTTAACGCTGGACGACCACAGCTCATTCGCAGCAACGATTTTGTCTCGCAGATCCACACTATTGGGAAGATCCACGAAATGTTTTCCGGGAATAAAATAGGCTTCCGTCGGAGGATCCTTTAGAAAAGGACTGGAAAAAGATTTTCTTGAGATATTGAGTTTAGTAAGTTTCCTACAGCTAGACTAGCGTACCGCGTACGTGATAAAATATTAAAGAAGAGTTACAAATCTGTTCATACTAACTGGGTATCATCTTTCTCCATCGTGCTAACCAGACTTTTAATTTTGCTCTCCTTGCACTGAATGCACTGGAATATGAAACCATAGTAGTCTGGCAAAATACCACCCTTTTTCCACTTGAAGCTGTACACGTGGGCAAACCGGAATCCCTTCCTCTCGTAGAGGATTTTCACGTGATCCTTATCAGCTGCAGAAAAGCGCTTTTTAAACAGTTTATGTCATGCACAGTATGAACTTGGTGAATGACCACATTATCAAACATCGAAAAAAGATCAAATAAACTTCCTCTGAAGTCGGCGTGCGCAAAGAGTAAATTCGACTTTTGTCTTTCTTAGTCGTTTCCTGTTGATGTTATTTTCAAAACGTTTCCTCTATGTTTATTGAAACTTAGACGAGTATATAATATTATTATTAATTAATTCAAGCCAACTTTGCATGATGGAATAATATTTTGAATTCCAGTTTATGTGGTAATAATTTTGCTCTTGGCTAAAATATGAGCTAACTCCAAGTATCGTAGAACCCAATGGAGATTTGCAGGCCACAGTGTTACTAACCTAACCGGGCCGAAGCAACCTTTTTTTCAGATAAATAATTGTTGCAAAATTTATTCGACGAATAAATTAACTAGAAATTAATGATCCACAGATCGTTTACGGTGTACCTAGACTTTTCAATGAATTAACCGAGTTGTAAATTGTTTCTTTCAGTTTCATATACACAAATTCACAATAACACTGTTGGAAGTTGACTTAACCAATCTTTCAAGCAGCAATTATCCCAGGAAACGGGTCAGGTTTGAAATAGGTACATAGATATTTAAAATAATAATTGCACCACCTACCCGAAGTGACAACTAGCACAAAATCAGTAGATATCCCCGGCCGCACGTCTGCGGGACGGCGTTTCGCGGCTGTGAAGGTCACTGACAGCAGCGCCGCAGGGATGCACAAAATCACCAGAAAACGTAGAACCATTTTAATTACCGGTTAACGGTAAAAACAGCTAGCAATCAGTTACACTCAGAGCAGTCGCTACTGTATTTAAATCACAAGGTCGTAAGTTAACTAAACTGAACCACAAACAGAAGGGAAGAATTATCTCGTTTATATTACACGATGAAGTATTGACTCTAAGCAGTTATCCTTTTCCTGCCATGCTAACCGTTGCTACCGGTAATGCTGACTGCGCTTCTGCCGAGCGCCGCTGCCGCCGCCCAAGACTTTTTTGGGAAAACTATTTTCAAGTGGCTCGTCTTGGTGGAATTTGTGAATCATATTGCTGGAATGGATATTACTTTGGTCCGATAAAATAATCGATTGCAACTGCTTTCAGGAAAGATCTCAAATATAATTTTAGGTGACTACGCAATTTTGCATGCATTTACGCATCTGTCACTTGAAAATGTTTTTGAAAAGAATTATGAAGTGGCGAGCTCTACGAATTTACGCTCTCAAGTGTTTCTGCAAAATTATGATAATAATTTTTTTCTTTCTTCATTTCGTGCGCGGTCAAAGTTAACATTGCAAAATTTTGCAGCGCCTCTGCGCGTGTAAAGCAACAATATTAAAAAACCAACGTATTCGGTAATTCAAAAATCACCGAAATTAGCCAAATCCCAAAGAAACTGATTAAGTCTATGTGCATACAAAATTTACTTTTCACCTAGTTGTTCATTGTTTAAATTAACTCAGGAATTACAGTAATATGAATTAGCCAACCGGAATGCAGCGCATCGGCGGGGAAATGTACAAATCAATCCGCTTGCTGCAATCCACCAAAACGTAATTCTGCAATTAAGGATGGTACACGATAATAACGCATTTTAAACAATTAAACCCACAAATAGTAAGATAAATTTGCATCTGGAAGATGAGTGCATAAATAGTTGGAAAGTCACGCAAATCGCAGCCAACTCTGAACGCCGCATGAACTAAAGTATTCTTCTTCAATCATGCAGGGCTTCCGGATCAGCACTTTCAAAACTTCTGGACGGAATCCCGTAAACTCACAATATGAAGTCGTCGGCGTGCTCGGTGGACAGTAATCCTCAAATCCCCTCGTTAAGACGTCAAACGCTGCTGAACTTATAGGCCAAGCTTGCAGATCTTCTTTCAGCCGTTCTCCCGCTTCCCATGACGTACGGTGCGGACAGTCAACGGCAACAGTTAGCTTGCCGTGTTGTGAACAGCGGAGATTGAGTGCATCGAGCACCTGTGAAATTCCCGTAACGGTGCCTTTCATCGTTTCTGTCGTGCAGCAGTACGTCCAGCCGCCTGCACCCAGAACGTTCAGCAGCGATTTTATTTCGTCCGGCGCTGCTATGATTATTTCTAGGGTAACATCAACGACAGAACAGAAATACTCGTACGTGGGTGCTTATGGTGTACAGTATTACTAAATTTGGGAGTAAATGGTCTTACTGTACCTAAAGTAATTCGTTCGGCCTTTTTCGATTTCATCGTACAGAAAATGTGGAAATTATTGACTGTGGGATACAACTCCAGCTCGTACTCAAGGTCGTGAATTGCGCGGGGATAGTGCACGGAAGTGCGGTAGGACGCATAAAGCCTTAACTGCAACTGCATTTCTTTGATTAACCGCATGGCCGTTAACCCGTGGCTGGGAGTGTACTGTATTAGTAGCAGATTTCGTGTCGATTTGGGGATGTACTGCAGCATTGCATTCGCCAGGTGTACCGGCTGAACGTGTTGGTAGTCCGGAGCTTCCAACATCACATATTTCTCTGTCGTGACACTGGACTGAAGTCTGCACCATCTCCAACAGACACTACAAAGTGCGAAATCTTCGCTAGAAATCAGTAGCTGAAAAACCAAGATTTTAGACACTTATTCTTATCTGCAGTGTATTACCGAAAGTCAGCTGTTTTTGCATAGTATCAATAGCGGACTGTAGTACAAGTCAAAAGACTCCAGTGCATTGTACTTCGTCCATTTTTTCTGTGGACAGTAGTGAAAAGTATACTCTAGTGTCTGTAACACCATTAGCCCAAACCTTATGCATACGGCTGAATCTAAATTTACAAACAAGCTGTCGCAAAAAGGGTACTGGATTCTATTATCCAGATTACTAATGTAGATTCCAGAATCCCAGTACTGGAATGAATTCGAAGTGCCTCGGAGCGTTGCAAGTTGCAACATTTGAATTTTAGGACGGTCGAATCAAGCGCGGCAAAAACCAAAGATTTTACACCTACCGTTTCAAATCCCTCTGTGCTATCCCGTCCATACTTTGAAAGGTCTCCCGTAGCAATATATCCGGAAGAGCCTGTAATGCTGGAAGAGCCTCCTGATCTCGAGCCGTGCCTTTAATAATCCTGGCTCCTGCAAATTACCTGCATGCTGTGATAGTAAATTTGTAATGACCAATGCAGCAGTCTTACGTGGGTTGCTATTATTTTGGTGAGCACTACCACTATCTTAACTGCTTAACATACTGTAATATACATTCGCCATTACATTTCTGGTTTTATCTGTCTCCAATTTCGCGCACGAACAGAAACGGAGAAAACGTCTGAAATAAAATTACCTAAAAACGGCTACAATACTCTTTTTTCTAATTTTCCAATGTCCAAAAGAATTACTTACTCGGTAACTCTTACTCGCCATCGAGAACATACGTATCTGTATGTTGATTTAAGGCTAAAACTGATTGCGAAGAATAAAGTTTTCTTAACGTTATTTTCACGTACCGGCGACGTTTGATTTTGGAGCCAACCATTTGGGAAAGAACAGTAGTTTGTCGATCGTTTTTGTGAACCATTTTTCCGTGCGACTGGCATCTGGGGCATGCCCTGTTTTAAAAACAAAATCTTTAAGGTTACTCATCCAAATCCAGTGGTCCAATCCCCAGACCTAGCTTTCCGAAAATCATGATTGCCGTGGGAAACCGTGCTAAACTGTCTGTACAGACGTACTAGACTGCAAGCCAAACCTTTTCTAAAATATCGCTCCATAATCTCGTGGTAAAAGTGAAAAACCAGTCGATGGAATCTGAGACGTAGTCGTTTAGATTTCTTGCGGCAAAGGACGATGATACTGGCATCGTCTGTCGACACAATAAGAGTGCCCGTCGTATTCAACCAGGCCAACTTCATACAATCGCCCAGCTCCTTTATATAATACAGAAGAGGTGACTGTGGAAACGGACAGTCGGTTTTGCGGCATGGTGCATACGGTACGATCACCTTGAAGAATGTCTTTGTTGTAGCTGTCTGCCAGAGTCGCTCTTGGCGAATTCGTACATCGCTGGCAACGATTGGCGGCCACACATTAGCAACAGCGGCCAAAGAGAAAGGATTTTTGGTTTGCAGTCGGACCAAAAAATATCGTTCACCCTCTTGTTCACCTCGCTTGGTACCATATTCAGGCACCATTGCCACGAAAGTAGCTTTTCTCCAGGTCAGAGGCTGGTCTCTAGTGAAAAATACAGCAAATATGGTGTAATTATTCGTACTCAGGATGACAATTTCAGTGTACCCACACATGTTATATAACAACAAAATCCTATTCACTTACACTGAGCCACGGACCAGAACCTCCACCTCGGAATTCACTTGGAACAGCTTAAGGTAACGGTAGGCGGCCATTTCTTTTGTCGGCAATGCGCGGATACTGGAAATTTCCACCAGTTCTGTGGATGACGAGCCATCATGCTCAAAGTATATGATGAGTCCATCGTCGGCAGTATCCGTGACCAATCCCCGCTGTATCACGTCATCTCGCACTACATCTACTGTAAATTTATCATATGAACGAGACTCCGAGTGGTACCACTTAAGCGAATTCTTCAGCATTATGCGATGAAACTGTTTTTCTCACGTGTTAACTGTAAACACTCTACACACAAAAATTATGATCGTCTGCCAATTTAGCTGGATTTTTATGCGAGCAAGAGCGGGCTATTGCACGCGGTGCTGCGCAGTAAGGGTTCTTTAGATCGATATTTTAAAGGCATGCAGTACAGTACCTGCATTGCGCACTTTCTGCTGTCACGTGCTGGAAGGACCGGTGTACACGACTAGCGATCTGCTGAACATGCTGTCTGCATCATCAAGACTGTATGATTGTATTTCAGTAGTTGCACAGTATGATTGTATTTTGAAATTTTTGCTAACAAGGAAATTATTTTCACACGTTTACGCTCAAAGGTAAGCGGACTAAATCTAAAGCGGGTTTCTTTGGAACTGGGCGTATTTTATTTGAAGTACGGTATCTGAATATTAAGCAAAATGAATATTCAAGGAATACGCAGCCATGTAAAGGCATTCTCGGGCACCCAACTTTTATTTTTATTGCTGTTGATTGCCGTTGCTGTTTATTGCTACTGCTACTGGTTGTAGGACAATTTTACTCAATACAATGCACGAATACGCTGTATTAATGAAAAAGAATATGCTTCATTCCCTCTGAGTCAAGCTCTGCTCTGTTCAGTTCCAGTGCTGGCTATTTAAGCGCTTTATGGACACTCTTGTTCCACAACTTTTTGTTAATAGTGTTTTTAAACCTTGAACAATTGGTGGACTTCCACTTTTTTAGTCCCACATCGTCCTTTTTAGTCGTGCATAACGTTCATTCCATAAAGCGGTTTGTGCGTAGCGAAAACGAGGGGAATTCTGTAGCTGTCATTCTACAACGGTGACAGTCGGCACACCATCAGAATTATCGGCCTGGTCTCCTTAATCACCCGCGAGGTCATCCGCAGATTTCGCGATCATGTTTAACAGTCCAGGGCAATCACAAAAATCAACTTTGTACTGCACATGAACAAGCACCAACTGCAGGTGCCTTGGCTACTCGTATGGTCGTTTAAGTGGAGCGCTGTATAATACGTCAATGGTCGTTTAAGTGGAACGCTTTAAGTATTTGATTCCATATTCCGATTTTCTTCCAACTTTTCCTTTATCCGATTAAACAGAATTTATCGAGTACTTGAAATTTTTAAAAAACCTTGAACCGTTCCTTTGCAGTTGCGTTGTAAAGAAATCAGTGACGAAAGCGCTCACAAAAGTACTCATCGCTAAAATTCTTACTGGATACCAAGATCTTACGAGCATGTTATACGTAAAAATTAATTCCCTTTCCAATCTTATCGATAATTTTATCGTGACTGCGTCATTGATTTATTCAGCCTGCATCAGTAATGTTTCAATATATCCAAATAGAAAAATTAGAAGCTACGCGCCGTGGAAATTTAATTTGCTGCATGTCTATCTGTTTCTGTATTCGGATGAAACTATTTATAGCAGGACGAGCTGACAACGAAGCCTTAGACAAATTTGGTTTTAGCAAGTAATTCATATAAGCATACCACCATTAACTCAAAGAGTTAGAATGAATTACAATAAAAGTCGACGCAGACCGATCAAGCACTTCAAAAAGTTGGTAACGGGAAAATTATAGTAATTAATGAGAGTTACGAGAAAAGTACATATGTAGTTAAAAAATCAAATAAATCGAAACCAGCTCTGAACGCCGCACGAATTGAAGTGTTCTTCTCCCACCAAACAGGGCTTTCGGATAAACACCTTCAAAATGTCTGGACGAAATCCCGTTGGCTCACAGCTTGAAGTCTCCATGCTCGCTGGACAGTAATCCTCAAATCCTCTCGTTAAGGCACCCAATGCCGTAGAACTTATAGGCCAACGTTGCAGATCATTCTTCAATCGTTCTCCATCTTTCCATTGCCAATGGTGCGGGCAGTCCATCGCATCTGATAACTTGCCGTGCTCAAAACAACGGAAATTTAATGTATCCAGCACACGTGACATTCCCGTGACTGAGTCCTTCATGGTCTTGGTCGTGCAGCAGTACGTCCAGCCACCGCCGAGAAGTTCTAGCAGGCATTTTATATCTTCCGGCGCTGCCATGATGATTTCTGCGGTAGCAGCTTAGCGTCAATGGAAGAAGTATATGGGCGCTAATGGCATATAGAGTGATCCGTACATTTGTAAATATATAGGGGGAATTCAACTGCTGACGGCAGCGCTCCCTGTACTTGCTGCCGTCAGCCGGCTGGAGTTTTACGTTGTGGCTAGACATGGTGCCCATGTTACCGCGCCTGATTCAACCGTATGTACTGCCGTAACGTCACACTCCAGGCGGGTGACGGCAACAAGTACAGGGAGTGCTGGCCTAGCAGTTGAATTCCCCCTATATTCCCTTTTTGTACCTAACGTAAATCGTTCACCGCTTTTCGATTTCATGCAGCAACAAACGTGGAGATTGTTGACTGCTGGATACCACCACAGCTCATCCTCAAGGTTGTAGAGTTGGCTGCGCCAATGTACTGTATCTGTACTGCGGTAAGACACGTAAAACCGTAACTGCAATTGCATTGCTTCTAATAAGCGCATGGCCGTGGAGCTGTGGCTGCAGGAAAACTGCATTAGTAGCAGACTTCGTGTCGATACATCAGTATGCTTTAGCAGTGCTTTCGCCAAATATGCCGCGCGATTGTGTAAGCGGTCCGGAGCTTCCAGAATTACACACTTCTCTGTCGTGGCGCTTGATTGAAGCCTATACCATCTTCGACAGACACTGCAATGTGCAAATCTTTGCATTAATTTGTAGGAAACAACCTGTAAAACCATCCGGCGGTCCACAAGCTATGCAGTGCACAAAAGTGACAAAACGGTCTGCTACAGTAGGTATACACATTGGCAAAATCCTTCGAGATAATATTTAGGGTCCGCTTGCAGCATGTTATACAGTTTCGATATATGTGCTGTGTGCGCAAAATTACGGTTGGTGTTTTTATTAACACTGAAAAATTTTGCCGGCGGAACGGCACAGAGTGGCTAGCGGGCGGTCTATTTATCAACCGGTTTCCCGGTTATTAACGCATAATAACCTAATACGTGTCAACTGATCTTAAAAGAAGCAGCCGCATGTTCATACTGATGGCCTAGGTGTCTCAAAAGGCCACAACTCGTGATTCTTTCGATGCTCGAATCAAGCAAGCAATGACCGATGACGTTGCACTTACCGTTTTAGCTCCCTCTGTGCTATCTTGTCCATACTTTGTAATGCCTCACTCAGTATTATATCCGAAAGAGTCTGTAATGTTTGAACTTCCTCGTAATCCTGAGAGGTACCTTTAGAAACCAGGTTACCTGCAAATAACCCACTGAGTCCAAATGTACAGTAATTGTATTGCTGTAGTGTTACTTGTTTTTCTGTCCTTTCGATGATCACTAGTAGTGCTTATTACTACCACCACCTGCAGTACCTATCCGATAGGTACGATATGTCCTATCGTGCAGGACAAGATTTCGACAGCCGTTAGCTCTCCAACAGTATGCTTCCTTCTTTGTCGAACTGCACTTTTTACAAAATAGCTTTACAGAAAGATTTAGTGAACGTTTGCCTATCCCAGTTTGACAATATTATTCTTATATCGAAAACATTCCTGCATTTTCCCGTTCCACATGCAGACAATTACTGCAAAGAAACCATTTCTTTAATGTTCACCTGACGTACCGGCGAAGTTTGATTTCGAAGCCAACCATTTGGGAAAGAACCGTAGCGTTTGGATTGTTTTTGTGAACCATGTCTCCATACGAATGGTACCTCCTATTTGCAGAGAAAAAGTCTGTGTGAGGCTAACAGTAAGTCGTACATATATGTATCAGAACTTTTGTACGAAAATTACGGCTGTCTTGGTTAGTTAAAGTGGATAACCTTATGCTAGATGGATAACCGTATGCTGGTAATACTGGATTATTTTACATTAAACGCGCTATATATATTATATAATAAACCGGAGTTGTTAATGCAAGGTGATTGATTGACTCTCAAGTTTGTCTGGTGTTAACGAGCGCTTTGGCTACTTCGTGGTGCATCTGTTTGCACAAATGCTTCGTTTTCTGCAAAGAAGAGCTGAACATCCAGCCATACCTTGTCTAATGTATCTCTTGACGAAGTGGTCGTGTAGGTGAAAAACTAGTCGATGGAATTTCCTGGGTAGTCTTGGCATTCGGCCCCGTTTAGTTCTCCTGCGGCATACCACGGTCACATTCACATCATCAGCAGATACAATAAGCGTGTCTGTCATTTGCAGCCAGATCAACTTCATACAAACGTCCAGTTGTTTCAAATAATACAGAAGGGGAGATTGTGGAAAGGGACAATCGGTTTTCTGGCATAATGTGTACGGCACGGTCACTTTGTAGAACGTTTCCGGTGTGACTACTTGCCAGAATCGTTTCTGGCGGATTCGTATATCGCTGGCTACAGTTAATCTGAACTTATGAGTGACAACGGCCAAGAGAATGGATTCCTGGATTTCAGTCGAATCAGGGCAAATTGGTCACCTTCATCTTCAGGTTCACTGTCGCCATAGTCAGGTACCAGTGCCACGAAAGTGGCATTTCTCCATGTCAGAGGTTGATCCCTACCAGTGGAAATTACGAACCCTATTAGACATTCTTACGGAGAATCATAATTACAGTGCCTGCCACTGCCTGGTGATTATTATTCCGGCCACTTACAATACGTCTCGAACTAGCACTTCCACCTTGGCGTTGCCTTCGAGTGGTCTAAGGTAACGGTAGGATGCAAACCTTTGGGCTGGCAGTATGCGGATACAGGAGAATTCGACCAATTCCGTTGACGTTGGGCCATCATGATGGAAGTCGATAATGAGTCCATCGTTAGCAATATCCGTAACATATCCCCGCTGAATGACACCATCTCGCACGACGTCAGCCGTGAATTTAACATATGTTTCGTAGTCGTAGAGCTTATCTAGCATGTTCTGCAGCATGCTTGAACGCATTATTTGAGAAAAAATTTTCACGGGCAAAAATGCCTTATGCTGAGTCAACTGAGATAATGGCGGTCTGCCGATCTAGTCTCGGATTCCAGTGCGAGCCAGAGTAGGCTGCCGCATCATGCATGTGATGCTGTTCAAAGATTGTATGGACTATGGATCGATAATGGAACTGCTGTGATAGCATGTGGATCCAGTGCTGGTAGTTCTGTTGTCGTGTGATTAATGCGCTAGTGTACTGTATTCCAGTGTTCCACTCTTGAACCTCTGCACCTAGCGGTTTTTTTGCCGGAAAAGCCCAACTCAGCAAATTTATTATTTTGCAACTAAATAACCTGTTTTAACCTAATGTCTCAGTGTACGAAATTTTTACGATTACAGTATATTAAAAAGCTTCTAAGCTTCGGTGTTGATTATTTATCATTGGGTTGCAGGCATGTAAATTTGCAGGATGACTGGATCAGCCACCGGATAACCTGACGCCCCATGTGGCGCGCTATATGTTTGCTAATTTATTATCGTGTGTTGGGGGATCAATGTGCTGAACCGTAAAGTGCTGAACCGAACCGGACCGCTGTTCCGCTGTGATGGGCAATAGAATTTTTTATCCTGATTATTCCTGCGAAGCTGTGCTTTGTTAACAGTAATAATTGTGAAAATGGCTTATACGGACACGTAAAAGTTATAACGGATCAGTAGACTTTCCAACACGAATGTTGACTCAAATATACAACAGAAGCGCCAACAAAGTCCAGATAAGGTAAAGTGTTTGACGATATTGTAGTATGCAGAAGGTCAAAATCAAAGGCAATTAAAAAGGTATTTTGGAGCGGTAAATTAAAACGGCGAAAGATTTACGGCGGTATTGTATAGGCAAAAAGCAATGGTAAACTTGACAAGGTAAACTAAAACGGCAAAGGAAAACGGGCGGCAAAGACTTGGCCGACCCCTGTTACCAATAATTTTCATTTCATCATTCATTTGCCTGAGCATCCGCGTTCACCTTTTTCCTTTTGTTCTCTTTCCTGCGCTAACCGAAATCGGAGTGAAAGTTGTAATTCCGTACCACAGTTTTGCAGAATTTTACCATGTTTGCGCTCACAGGTAAGGATGGTAATATCCAATATCCAAAAGTGTATCCAGAGCTTAAATATCCAAATATCATATCCATATCTCGAGCTGTCTCGAAAGATACGGATATTTTTGGATATTTGGTGGATGCGGTGAATACAAAGATACAGCAGCATATTGACGGATATAAGACAGATCCTTTTATATAAACATATTTTTTCCAGCGAAGGCATTTAAAAGTTGCTATACATGCTGCGACTTTTCTCAACAACGGATCAGCTTGACTGAATATTTTGAAAAACGGATCACCCAATTATTCAAGTATGTTGAAGTACAAAATTTTAAGATCAACAAGTTTGCCTATACATCAATACCATCTGACGTTCTACTGGTGTCTCCGCAAAATAATCATAAATGTGCAAATCACCATGTTTGATCTCACACTGAAACAAAATTTTTGTATTAATAACTCGGGGCCGTCAACCTAAGGCTCGCATTGGAACTACGATTCGCATGTGTTTGTGGTAAGGCGGAAATGGCGGGCACGTCAAATAATTATTTCTTTTATTTTTTTACTATTGGATTATGTAGTACGTGGGTGATCCGTTGTTCAAAATGTACAGTTACCCTAACCGGCTAACCTTGATGTCGAGAATAGTCGAAGTATGTGTGTATTTCTTGTTTCCTTCTAATATCTAAATCTGGCGTTGATCGTTAGTGTGTTGTGTGATGCTTTTATTTTAGTATTTAAGCCTTTTTAAGGCTTTTTCATAAAAAAAACATGTTATTGGATATATCTGGATAGAAAACGATATATCCAAGATATTTCTGGATATATCCGGATACGTTTTGGATATATCCCATATCCAGGGGCTTTCTCTTGGATATTACCATCCTTACTCACAGGTGATAGACCAACGGCCACCAATGGATGACCAACCGATTAAATTTTCGGTAATTTCAGTACGAGCTGCAAGGATTTATTAAGGATATCTGAAGGGAAGCAAAGTAAAGTAAACTGGGGAATATGAAGCCACGATATCCACAGCCGCAGTTCCCGCGCAAAATTTGTGTTTTCTGATTGCAACTCAATTTTAAAATTAAACATAATGTTTAAAATTGGAATATGGAATACACACTTTAGCCTCCAGAGTCTAGTTTTTCGGTCGTCCTTTGTTCTGAATCCAGTGCTAATGATCTATGAGCGCCGCATATGCTTCTGTCGCACACTGTTTGCGACCTTTTCTGCATAGCACGGCTATCCAATTTCCGCTTGCATCGGTATTCGTACAATGGACTGCAAAACTGGCTGAACGCACATCGATATAGCCGATAAAGCCGTTTGCGCAACCAGTTTTGCAGTGTCCATTGTATAGTCCAACGTTGTACAATTGGCCATCTCACAAAACCATTTGATCGTAGTGATTCCGATGAGAGTTCTGCAGCTGCCGTTCTAAAACACCGATAGTTGACGCTCCCAGAATGACGGCGGCCTTGGATACCTACTCGTAATCGTCCACGACGACATTAAGGGATTGAACAAATAAGGTGCACTGCGCCGTGAACATTTCACGGCAACCACGAACATCAATACGAGTAGTGTTGCGGTGGCTAATGCAATAGTGACGGTTTTATGAGCAACCGACAGACAAACGAAACCGTTATCCGGAAGCGCTCTAAGCGTTAATCGCCCATTACACTAGCTGTCGCTTGGCGGGTAGGCGTTTCGATGGGAACCGCAAGATGGGGAAGAACATCAGATTCTATCCACGAATTACGACTGATTACGTGCGACCATAGCAGCGAAGAACCGAAAACTGAAGGAAATTGATTGATCATCAGCAGTCAATTAAAATTAAGGCTGTCAATGATTTATAAATTTTGACCATTTACCGGGTGGCTGAACAAAATGGCCGTCTTCTGTTTTCGTTTGTTTTTCGCAGACCCTTTATCGCATCGTAAACTGTTTAGGCTCATTCGATAGAGAATTTTATTAGCCACAAAACCTAAAACAAAGTTTTCGAAAAAATTAAGTCGTCTTCGACTTTTGCAATGATGTCAAATGAAACTGTCTGCAAATCTTTCGTGTCCCAGCTCGCAAAACATAAAATCTTGTGCCATTTCTTCCCCTTACGGACTGTTTGAATATTTTTAACTGTTTCATTTAGCAAAATACGTTTTCTTTCTATAGAAAAAAAAGTTGTGGTCATGCTGCATACGCTGAACGAGTTATGCAGTCAAGACACATTGTGACTTTTTCGAAAAATGCCGGTTTTTTATTTGGTATTTTCGAGTATTTTCGGTTACAATTTTTGGCTGCATGACAGGATGCACCAAAAAATGCAGATTTGACTTTAAAATGTAGCTGACACATTGCCCTTTCTGGTAACAACCTCTCGACCAGAAACAAAAAAACGAGAACAACCACTCTACCAGAAATAGTAAAATAAGCTACATTAATGTCGTTAGCTGAATAGCAAGAATTTTAATTTAGAAACGGGTAATTTCAGGTTTTCGCTTCCAGGACATCATCTAAACCCAGCCGATTTTACAAAAGAATTCATAAAAAATTTCAGCCTTATGAAAATTTTGACTTAACTTCACTTTTTCATGTTAAAAGCATTGCTCTATCGAATGAAACTAGGATAACGTCAATTAAGTGTTGGACGGATCCAGCGCACCATGACAAAGCAGATGGCCATTTTGTTCAGCCTCCCGGTAAAAGATTGTATCCTGTTGTGAACTTATATAAACGTATTCGTAAAGTTGCGAACAGGAGAAGTGTGTGCTACGGAATTTTTGTGGCAGCGTGTTAGTGTTGAAATTCAACGAGGTAATGCGGCTTCTGTTCTGGGAACTGTTAGTTGCTCAAAACAGCGAGAGGAGTTTCTTTATTTGTTCTAGCTATCGGATATCTGAGTTTTAAGTTTAAACGGCATTTGCTTGTACAAGTTTGGGAGTAAATGAGTTTAGGTCTTATCCGTAAACAACCATCTTTTTGTAGCTCGAAATCCTCGAATTGTCATACACTGTCAAATTCTTAATTTAGAACTAGATCTAACGAAATCAAACATTTATTCAACTATTCGACATTACAGATATTGTAAAGAAGATATGCTTCTGTTTTATAAACACCTGACGACCATCACCGCATTAAAAGAAAACCGGCTCAACAGGATTGTAAGGCGTTGAGATGTAGACACTATTTCGTTAACTGGCAATAAAGATTAATAATATGGCTTCATGAGCTAGTAATAATATGAGCAGAAGACTGGTTGGGCCAAGTTGCTGGTTAGTTCGTGTAGGGAACAGTTTGGACAGGTACAGTTTCGGAGAAATAACGTATGTCGCCGTCATACTTCCCGCTACCCGAAAATATTCTTTATTCGCTTCGACAGGGATACCTTTGGAAAGTTTTCCGGCTCCAGATACTTAGCGAACTCCAATCTTGGGGCCTGCTCCAGAGTGATAACCGTGCGTTCCGGCATACCATAATAGAAACTCGTATAATCGATGTGGTCACGGTTTTCCCACTGTCTGTCTGCACGATGGATCATTTCACTCAATTTTGGAGCCAGCTTGTCTGGAACACTCGACAATTTTCCGTGGATAAAATAGGCGTGGTGCGGAACATCCTTTTCACCCAAAGCCCTGTAGAGCATGCTTAAAACTGTTATTGTTAATTTTAATATGTTTTGTGACAGTTGGACTTTCTGACAAATTAACAAATAAAGCCATAGCTCGTCACACCAACTTGAAGGAAATCTTTTCCTTTATCGTGTCAACTAGCTCTGGAAGTTTCTCTTTTGAGCATTTGAATATGAAACCGTGGAAGGTCGATTTGCTGATTGTGCTCCATATGTACTTGTACACATGGGCGTACTGAAATCCTTGCGTGCGATCGAAGCGGAAATTGATCCGATTGCCGTCGTCTGCAATACATGGTTCTTCAATAGATGTTTCCTTTACACAGTACGGCATGAACTGGGTACACGACCATCGTATTAAGAAATCTAAGAAATTCTCAAGAAATCCACATGCGCAACGACCGTTGTTTTCTCGGCCATTCACTTTTATATCCTTTTTGTTGCTTATATCTGGCTTTTTGCATAAATTCGAAAATGATTTATTGAAATTAACACGGGTACATCATCATCTGATTTGAGGCGTTCTTTTTGTAATGGTACTTTAGTTAATTATTTATGAACCACAAACTTAAAATAACTTGAAGTACATAAATATAAGCAAAATCAATCGAAGTATCGTAAAAGCTGCTATGCTATACGTCTGTAAAACAGGTAATTATTAGCCATAATACGAGTACTTTGTAATTTAGCCCAGCTGAGCAACTGCCGTTCTCCCTTTCAGATAGTCAGGTTTATAAATCACTTAGCAATTCTACTGGTAGTGATAGAATAATTATCATCAGGTCGCGTACCTGCTCGCTTCTAAGTTCTCATTAATCAAACCGAACTGGAAGTATTCGTCATTTGTGCACTTTACATAATTGTTACTGCAGGATGTTCGTTTTGTATACGCTCGTTAATAAAGGAGCTACCGGGTGGCATTTCAAAACAACTTCAATTTATGTAGTCAAAACTCTATCGTAAAGTTTGATGTGCCCTAACTTTTCAGATTGAAATGCATACGACTTACCCGAAGTAATAAGCAGCACATATTCAGAAGACTCCTGCCTCGATATCGCAGCACCGCAGTGCACCCCAGTAAAGGTCACCAGAATCATCAACCCAAAAATACCAAAAATCGATAAACTTGTAAGCATTTTGATGGCTGGTGTGCAGTGAAACAGGTAACAATCAATAATCTTTAGAGCACCAACTAAAATACCACGGACCGAATTACAAGCTCTAGGATAAACTGAATTGAATCACAAGCAGAAACGCAGATGAACCTCGCTTATATTCAAATACAAATCTTGGCACCAATCACTTTTTCATTTCCCGGTCCGCCAACCGCTGATACTGGTAATGCTGACTGCGCTTCTGCCGAACTAATACGCTGCAGTCGAACATTGTTTTAGGAAAAACGTCTTCAAGTGGCCAGACGACGCTGAAATGGAGAAAATTTTAGTCGGATCGAATGCATTAATAAATGATTACAGCTGCAATTTAAACAGAATTATTTTTAGATCTCAATTATGCGTTTATTCAACGCTGCAACTTAGTCTGCATTTACGCATTTGCCACCTGACCATGCTTCTGGAAAGAATTACGAAGTCGAAAACTCTAAGAATGTACCCATTCGAGTGTTTCTGCAAAATGATGATGTTAAAGTTTCTGCATTTCATAACTAGCAAAAGTTAACAGGTGCGCTACAAACACTGGCTTGTATTACGGTAGTTAACAATATAAGGGGAAATGCGTTCGTCGTACCTCTTATTTCCAGTATGCATAATACAGTACATAAACGTTTGCCAACGCTGAAGACAGTACTTAAAATCATAATGCTATCTAATAAAATATAACTGCTCACAAAATACCGGTATGTACTACTAATACCATTGGGTTTTACCAAGCGCCGCTCGCTTATGCAGATTTTGCTAACAAAAGTGCCTTGAAATAGCAAGTAAAACTGCCCGTATTACGGTAATGGATAATTCACACAGGCAAAGCTGTGATATGTGTAATGAACACTATTCCCGGGCAAGACAGTAACGGAAGTTAATTGTTGTGATTTGGGGGGATCTGTTACGGAACGCTTGTTTTATTGTTTTCTGTTAGGTGACCACTCCGTACAGTGATACACACCCTTTCACACCCTTTTACACCGTACACAAGTCCTTAATGTGGAAATGCTGTGCCGGTCACAAGCTTCGAACACGAAAACCGGAGATATGAGTAAAAACGATATACTCATTACTCTAATTTGATCAAGCTCCATGTTAACCTATCAAATACTGATATCATTCATATGACAAGATCTGTACATGGGTTTAATGTCGCATTTTTATTTCAAAAACCCAGATACACTGCAGATAAACAAACAGCTAATCGTATGTAGTAAATAATTCAGTTAAAGTTGCCGCTCTCTCCGTTGTTCCAAATACATAACAGTAAACTAGAAAAGTTAAGTAAATCGAAGCCAACTCTGAACGCCGCATGAACTAAAATGTTCTTCTCCCACCAAACGAGGCTTACGGATCAGCACTTTCAGAATGTCTGGGTGGAATCCAGTTTCCTGACAATACGAGTACGACTCGCTTGGTGGACAGTAATTCTCAAACCCTCTCGTTAAAGCTTCAAAAGCTGCTGAACATATAGGCCACCGCTGCATATCATTCTTCAACCGTTCTCCTTCTTCCCATTGCCAATATTGTTGACAGTCCACGGCCTCAGATAGCTTGCCGTGTGTGAAACAGCGGAGATTTAGCGCATCGAGCACACGCGAAATTCCCTTAACTGTGTCAACCATGATTTTAGTCGTGCAACAGTAGACCCAACCACCGCCCAAACGGTTCAGCAGACAATTTATTCCGTCCGACGCTGCCACGATTATTTCTGTGATCATCGTTTAACATCATTGACGGAAGTATTGATATGGTACACACTTATATTTGAAAGTATGCTAGTATTTTATCAATGTATGTACCTAACGTAAGTCGTTCGCCGCTCTTCGATTTCATTGAGCAGGAAATTTGGAGATTGCTGACTGAGGGATAGAATGCCAGTTCATCCTCAAGGTCGTGGATTTGACTGCGCCAGTGTACTCTGTCTGTACTCCGGTAGGATACATAAAACTCTAAATGCAACTGCATTTCTTTGATTAATCGTATGGCCGTGTAACTGTGGTTGGGAGAAAACTGCATCAGAAGTAGGCTCCGTGTCGATGGAGTTGTGTGCTTAAGCATTGCATTAGCCAGTTGTACCGGATGATTGCGTATGCGGTCCGGAGCTTCCAGGATTACACATTTCTTTGCCAGGGGACTTGACTGAAGCCTGTACCATCTCCGGCAGACACTGTAACATGTACAAACATTTGCTAGTAATTTGAAGCCGGCAAAACATTCCGGCGCTCCTAAAAATATGAAGTCTAGCAGAACATACGATCTTAGTATGATTATACGCATGCTTCGCCAAAACCATCCAGGTCAAACTCCTGATCGGAATGCTTCACAATTTTGGTAAGTGTGAAAACTCTAAACTCGAATGCTTTTGCCAGCGGAACTGTAAACTTGCCCGGCTAACAATCCATCGGTCTGGACGGATTTCTTGGTTACGTACGCGTGAAGTTTACTCTCGAACTAAATTTTACAAAGGCAATTGCAAGGTGATTTTATAGCCTCGATGCGCTGCGTTGGTTTTTATAACAATCGAATTAAGCACGGCAATCACCGATAACTTTGCAATTACTACTTACCATTTCAGAGCCCATCTATCTTGTGATATCCTGTCGATACTTTGTAATGTCTCCCGCAGCAGTACGTCTGGTAGAGCATGTAATGTCGGAAACACCTCGAGATCCTGAGTTAAGCCCTTAAAAATCAGGGCACCTGCAAATCACCATTGGAAGCTTTTTTGTTATGAGCAGACAGAGTAGTCTTCGACCTTGTGCAGATTACTCCTGAGTCCCGCTCGTCGCAGACGTAAGCTATTATACAGCAGCAACAACCCGTTTAATTTAACTGTACAGATGACGCAGCAGTGTTGTTTTGCTATTCTTTTGGCAACTACTACGGTAACGGGCCACTTGTCGCTCCTTACCTATCGTGGAGATTATCCTTGCTGCAACCATTGGTCTTCATAAATTAGGTTTTTTTCTTGTCTGTAATTGTTGTCACGAGAAAAGGCGGAGAAAGTGTTTACAGAGAACCCGGTAAAATCTTCTAATTGCCCCAGTTTTGAAAGGTACTAAAAGCTAATTATTAATATCGAGAACATATCGGTACATGCTTTTTCCGATTCTGTTGTACACCAGGAAACTGAGTGCGAAGGTTAAAACTTCGTTATTTCGATTTAACGTACCGGCGACACTTGATTTCGAAGCCAACCATTTGGGAAAAAACAGTAGCTTTTGGATCGCGTTTGTGCGCCATATCTCCTTACGAGTGGTACCCCCTATTTTCAAAAGACAGACCCGTATAAAACTACAGTATCATACAGGATACTTGTGAGTTGTGACAGAGCAGTTTAAAAAAGTTATGGTTGTTTTATTTTATTAACAGAAGTAAGAATTTAGTGCCGCAAACTGGAATTACTGGATTTCTTAAGAATTTTAAGTAAGGGTTTCTGTCCACTCTGTCCAGGTAAAAGGGTGATCAACATCTACTTTTGTTTGCTTGCAGCAATACGTATCCGCTTCACAAGAAAAGTAAGATTTAAACCAAACCTTTTGTAATGTATCGCTCCATAAACTGGTCGCACAAGTGGAAAACCAATCGATGGAATATTTTGGGCAGTCGTTTAGTTTTATGGCTGGAGAGCACGGTTACACTAACATCGTCAGCGGACAGAAGAAGCGTACCAGTCCCTTCTAGCCAGACCAATTTGGTAATAACGTCGATGTGCTTCATATAAAAGAAAAGAGGAGATTTTGGAAACGGACAATCGGCCTTCGTACATGAATATGATGTGTACGGCACTGTCACTTTGCTGAAGGATTTCGATGAGATCGTTCGCCAAAGTCGCTTCTGGCGGATACGTATATCACTGGCTACGAATGGCGGCCACAGATTAGTTACAACGGCCAAAGAGAATGGATTCCTGGATTGCAGTCGGACCAAGGAGAACTGGGCACCCTCTTCGTCTGGCACCATCTTATTTCCATAGTCAGGTACCAGTCCCACAAAAGTGGCCTTTCTCCAGGTCAGAGGTTGAGCTCTACCATTGGAAAATACGACCACTTCGTAGTTTTGCAATTCGCATCATGATACAATTAATGTAACGATAAAAATTGCAGTGACTTACACTGTGTCTCGAAGAAGTACCTCTACCTCTGAGCCCATTCGGACTGGTTCAAGATAACGGTCGGCGGCAAATGTTTTGGATGGCAGTATGCGGATACATGAGAACTTAACCACTTCCGTTGACAATGGGCCATTATGATGGAAGTCGATGATGAGTCCATCGTCAGCGATATCCGTAACATATCCCCGCTGTATCACGCCTTCCTTCACCACATCCACTGTAAATCTAACATAAGCGAAGTAATTGTACAGCTTATCTGGCATAATGTTCAATGTGATTGACTTTTTTGTTCTATAAAGATTGTTTGTAGTTGCCTACTCTACATGCTGCAATTTTAGCCATCTGCCGATGAAACTGGGCTCCGGTGCAAGTATGAGTGGGTTGGTGCCTGTGGTGCTGTGCAAGAGTTCTTTGGATCGATAATTCAACAGCACGCAATGCTTGCAGTGCGCATCACTTTTTGTAGTAACGTGTCCAATGGACTGGTTCCTACTTCTAGTCACTGTGTACGAGTACGGCGGATGATCTTAAAATAATGATTTGCATGCTGACTGTAGCCGTACCGTACCGGCTGTATGTTTCTGTAGGCTTCCTCAAATGTAAAACCAACTAGTAGCAACTACAAGGCATTGTTTCCATCTGCTTAAGTAATCCATTTTCCTCTTGCTTCCTTTCCTACGCTTACCGATGTCGGAGCGAGGTTTCCGAGTGAATACTACCATTTTTTGTGCAGTTTTAATGTGCTTGTGCTCACAGACCAAACGACTAAATTTGTTTACAGTAATTTTTCTCAGAACCCAGTGGTGTAATCGGGAACAATTGCAATTTAAGTGAAATATTGTGGAGAATATGCGGCCTAGCACAATGTTACGCAGAACAATGCACTTCTACAATGTGAATCCTGTGATCATTTTACCACAAGCACGCGCATCTCTTTTGAATGTGATCCTGGCAATAATGTGTATTGGATAGTCTCTTGTTGAAAACTGCTTGGTGACTTTGCTGCTCGGTTCTTTAACTGCGGACTGACTGGTCGATTTCAATTTTCCACTTCTTCAAGTCCTGTATTAAATTCTTAGTCAGCTCACCAAACCGCTTTGATCGAAATGTCTCTTCGTCAAAACTGTCATACGACGGGAATGTCTTGCGTCATGAAGTCCTACATGCCGACTAAATGTCCCGCGACGTAACGTCGCGCGGCGAAATTACCATGCCGTGAAATGTCGCCGACCAAAATGTCATGGGACTAGCGGTCTTTGGCGAATTGTTGCGGTGCCGTGGACGACAGGATGGCAACCGCACCGAATTAAGAACGTAGGCGGACTTCGTGCAGCGTATAAAGTGGATTTCCGGTAGCAGAGTTTTGTACATTTGCACTTGCAGATTTTTCGAGTGACTTTTGTCCGGCCTGGACCTTGTTTAGCTATTTTTCATTTCGGTTGCGCAAAGCTGCTGTACCAAAATGTCGACGGTGACGCAAAAAATGTGGATAGAACGGGAAAAATATGCCCTGTAAATGTTGTAAGCGAGTCGCTGCTGTCAGTGTTCCGTAAATTGCCCAAGCCTGTACCTTCTCGGTTTGTTCGCGTATGAAATCAAAAATAAAGTGAATTGTGTGGTGCACAACACGTGATTTGTTGTCACTTATTCTCGCTGGTTTCTAGTCTATCACGTATACTTAGCGTGTCCTCGTGTTGCGATTTGTGCAGATAAAAGATACTCGTACAATAATAATAATAACTGGTTTATTGTCCTTTGCTACGAGGCGTCGCCTCCTTTTAAGCTAAGACAGAAAAATTCGAAATAAGAAAACAAAAGCGTGACATCATGACAGTAGGAGTTTAGGAGTATGCGGTACATTAATTAAGGAAATAAAACTACCACCAGCATCGAAAAAAATTCGTACGACTTAAAACTGAAACAAGCTATGGGGCAGCCAAAAATCTAAGTATCTTTAACAAACAAAGGATGCTTCTTAATCCATGCAAGGTTGTCCCAGTCAACGCGATCCAGTTCGGCCTGGAACGTGGAAGTTGACCGGTAGGATTCCACAGGAAAAGAGAGTTCGTTCCACAAGGTAGTCATTTCGTTTAGGTGAGATCCATGGACGGCGGTCACCGTTGTACCACATATAGACGTTGGAGCCGGTGCAATCGGAAATGGATGTTGAGTCAGCCGAGCGTGATGCCGAGTATTACCTGCAACAGATTCAAGCGCAGCAACCGAACCAACCAAACAAAGGAAGGATGCAAAGGTCACCCAAAGGCACTTTGCCAAACTTCAGTTTATAAATAAACATCAGCGCTTTCTTAATGCGACGTAATTTTAGACTGTCCCACTGCAGCTCTTTTAAACGTTCTTCGTAGTTTGCCGGATCATTTCCTAGTAGCAAAGTTTTTGTAAAACGTTTTTGGCACTTTTCTACCGTATCGCTGGACGTCTTTAACACTGGGTGGACGCAGGAGGCACAATAATCGATCACTGATAAAACCAAAGCTTCGAATAATTTAATTCTTGCACCAGAATGGAAGTATCTAAATAGTCGATTTATGTAACTTAATCTGCTGTAGTGTATTCCCGATACAGCACATATTATATGAGTACATACTTTCCCGTACTATATCTAAAGATGTGTACTTCCCGATACAGCACATATTATATGAGTACATACTTTCCACGTTTGGCGATTCTGAGTGTCTTTGGACTTGTAATGTTGGTGACCTTTACAGCGGCTACTCCCCGCGGTGCTGCGAAAGTAGCGCAGCGGCCTATTTCTTCTGATTATGTGCTGCTTCTTACTACGGGTAGGTGGTGTAGTTTTCGTCATAATAATAGTAACAGGTCTTGAGCATAGCAGTAAGATTTGCCGAAATATTGTTGCTTTAAAGCCGGAGAGGTAAATCCAACGTGTACTGAAAAAGCTGCATAAATGTTGCAAATGATGAACATTTACAACCCAGTTTATTTAACGAGAAAAGTGGAAGGTAATAGGATACGGGATTTCGCTGTTAACACGACCTAAATGATTTGCCAATCTCGATCGTTAATTCGAAACCTGAGTTTCTAAGCGTAAATTGTCTTCCACTACTGACTTACTGTAGTATGTGGTTTTAAAAATGCTTCGGTTTTGCTCATATTTTAATTACTAAAAGATTTGTATTTTTGTAAACTATAAAATCGGATATCCGAACCAGCATCCAAAGACTTTCTAGCAGGCTCTAATTAGGTAATAATTAATTCCCGTAAATTCTGGCATCCTAAAATATACACAATACAAAGAGCGGTTAAGGTGGCTAAAAAGGGGAAAACACTGAATTAAAAATGGACAGATCAGAGACAACTTACTGCATATTCTAGCTTCTCTGGACGTTTACTACCTAATAAATCTTCAGTACGATTCTGGTTTGCTAAAGCTGGAATAAATCTTGTGTTGCAGTATCCGAAAGTCGAATCAGGAGACTTCTGGAGGGCACCAAAAAATGTTTGTATGCCCATGTTTACAAGTTCGAGTACGGCGGCGATCGAATAGTGTTTCCTTACAACGGTATCATATTCAAATGCGCACAGGATAAAATTAAAAAACTAGCTAGTGCGATGCAAGAAACCCCTGCCTCGAGGTTGGTGCCAAAAAAACTAAACTGTTGCCCTATTGCATATCGTATGACATCGTTCACCTGATGGAAGCGTATTGAACTTAAGCACCAGTTTGAATATTTTTTTGCAGCGCTTTTAATCCGGAGGGCACTCCGGACCGGGGATACTTTATCCAACGAAAATTGTCAAATGTTTCGAAGGATTTGGTTCCAGATCTGGCAGAGATGATCGAGCGAGCGAATGTGCTGTGGTCGCATCGTCCCCCCGTTGAGCACATTGATTATAACAAGTTCTATGCTGAAATTGGTGAACGCCCTGTTCTCGAACGTCCGGGAAACAAGTACAAGTACCCAAGCGAACAGTTCGGTTCGATTTTGGAGCCGTATTCCTTTCCAAAACGATCCACGTCGGAAGGGACATATAAATTCTACAAATAAGTTGTTTGGCGATACGACAGCGGCACTGCCGCGAAACTATATTTGTCGAATGTGTCCCCTGTAATAACCTATCGTGCAACCTTGCTAATCGATGTCCAGTGTCTAATAACATCTTTTGTCATTTTAATCATTATTGTCAAATTACGAGGCAGCGTAGTTCACGGCAACGATACTCACTGTCAGCTGCCTGTGAGTGACGCATTTATCATTTGTTTCATTCGTTTATGTCTATAGTTCGAACAGAAGCTCATGTCATCGACGCCATTTTATAACAAAAATTTAACACTGTGTGAGCTCCGGGCTGCTAGAAGATGGCTGTTCCCAATCTCACGAACAGCTTGGGGAATTAATTTTTCGAACAGGCAATAGGATACTGTAGTGTATTATGTAGATATAGTACGACAACCATTTTAACTGCTGGAGAACATTAAAAAGCTGACACTCAGCAATGCTCGGGAGTTAGTGCGTTTGTAAGGGCCAGATCAGAGCAAAGATAAAAGGAACTGAATCCCACACATAAGTGCACAATTGTCTGGCTTATATACTTCTGCTTATACGACAACGTGTGTGCTACAGTCGAGTTTTGCTTTTCTTCGTCCGCTAAGCGCAGATACTGGTAATGCTGAGTGCGCTCCTACCGAGCTCGTGGGTTGGAGCCGAACATTTTTTTGGGAAAAGCATTCTCAAGTGGGCAGACTTCGCTGTACTGGTGTGTGATGTTACGGGAATGGAAGGGATTTAAATCCGATCGAATGCAGTGAATGATGACAGCTGCATTTAGAACATAATTATCTTCAGGTCTCAACAACCCATTTACGCAACGCTGCAATTTAATTTGCATTTACTCACATGCCACCTAGTCATGTTTTTAGGAAAAAATTTGAAGTGGCGAACTCTACGAATTTAAACAATTAAGTGCTTCTGCAAAATCAACATGTTACACCTTTTTTCCATATTTCGTGCTTGGCCGTACAGACTGCAGCTAATGAGAGCGACATGGCATCAGTAAGACTCGGTCGTGTTATGAATTTAAGAATTATGCGTTCCGTAAAATGAATCATATTAAATGTGGCTAGCGCTGATTACACAAATTTACGGTAATAATACCAAAACATGACTGCCCGAATGCCGGTAATGAACAAATCACAAATATCATGACCCATAAATACTCAAATGCCGAAAATGACTCAATAAAACTGGTACACTACGTACGAGTATTGTAATCCGCTATTTCTGGCCACAGTACGGTTTAGCTTGGAAAGTACAAGACATGGATTCGGTTCCCAGGATAAGTTGTTTTGTTAGCTAACTTGTAAATTAAAATCAGAAAAATTTTTTTTATTACAATTGTGGCTTGACGCAGCCTGGCGAAGAAACTAATAAAAAATCTTCATTATTGTATCCGAGATTACGGTTCCAGCAGGTAAATAGGTTCTATTTATCATAGTGGTGCTATTTTCTGGTTTTTACTTAGGGATACGACGTACCGGCGAGGCCGACGAAAATCTCCCTCTGGAACACGATCTACCCGGTATGGGTTTAGATGTGTCAGCACGCTGGCAATACCCAAAAACTTCTTCGGCTTGTGTTCATTTCTTGACCGTGGAATTTCTATAAAATTCTGCTTTGTCGTGCCGTAGACGCTAAAGTTTCAGCAGCTACAAGGATCAAGTGGGACGTGCAACTTTCAGGAAATGCCGCCGCGCTGGCCGTCTGTTACGTATTTATTGAACTATATACGTATTATTTATTACTATACGTATTATTTATTTTAACAGTGTTTGCGAGCACGAAGCGTTGGTCGGAAATAAGGATACTAAAGAATTTAATAAATATACCTTATATACTTTATGATGTGTCTGGCACTGGGCAGTAAGTTGTGTATGACATATGATCCATTAGCACCACCTCCCAACGCGAGTGATCGGGTGTCTGGTTCCTGCTGCCAGACCGTTGTCACGACCAATGCCACAGCGGTACCGTGACCCAACACCAAAACAAAGGGACAGAAGTACCACAAGCTAGATGCTCTTGATTATGATGGAAACCAGCGTCATTGCCAGTTATTATAAAATAAAGGGGTTCACCATTCCCTTGTACTGTTGCCACCCGGCTGGAGTGATGTTCTTCGTTACATATGGATTGCATATCCGACTCAGTACGTAAGCGCCATGTTTACTTACAACGTCACACTCTGGAATGGAAACGTATAGCTGCAAAGATGATTGTGTTCCTTTATGAATGAAGGTGCTGCCTTATTAAACTTCTATGCATTGTTTCTTTCGGAGCAGATTATCACAAATCCCCGAATATTTACGTTTCTATTACACTGACGAATCTTCTGCTTCGGTTGTAGGAAGTAATGCGGCACATGACCGTAATTATTCTCGTAGCAGTATAATACGAGAATATTCGGCTTCCGTATACGAGTATTTTGACTACAAATAATACGGCTGATACTAAACAGGGCACATTTTCTGGGTGTAAATTCAGAAAAATCTCCTCTCTTGTAAAAAGATAGTATACTACCGTAGTATGTTTAAAAAATTATCCCACCTGCCAAGGTCCATGGGCGTGGCCAAAACAGAATTTAACAATAAATTCTACGCTATGCTGTAGCTTTTGGCCAGTGCACCGCATCATTCATTGTACGAGTAACAGTACTGAACAACCTGTACAAGGCTAATTTAACCATTTAAGTAATCGTCCAACAAATCAAAGAAAAAGCAGTGCAAATCGTTTTCTACTGAAAAAACTGTGAACTGTACCGTATCTACATAGAAACGGTAAATAATGATCGCAGTGCACTTCATAAGGTTGCTAGTGTAGCCGCGCGATGAGTTTGCACCACAGAGTCTGGTATACGGGAATTATTGCATACGCTGCAGCACACTCTGCATAGCGTATGCAGGGGGTAGACTGCGGCCGGATCTGATCGTGGTGCAAACTCATCGCGCGGCTACAGTACATCCAAAGCAGCTAGAACTACGTGTGGAATAACACTGGATATGGAGCATCTTTTGACGTCCACAGATAAAAGTTTTGAATGAACTTTTGAATAAACATGTTAAAGTCAACAGATAAAAGTTCTGAACGAGTTTTTAAGTTAAACTGGCGTTGTACAAATTGTTCGGTAACGTAATAAAGTACGATGCGGTGCACTGCCCATAGGCTACAGCATAGTGTAGAATTTATTGTTAAATTCTGTTTCGGCCACGCCCATTGACCATGGCAGATGGAATGATTTTTTTAAACATACTACGGTAGTATACTATCTTTTTACAAAAGATGAGGTTTTTTTGAATTTACACCCGGAAAATATGCCCTGGTGAGTCTTAGTTAAATTAGTTTTCATTTTTCGGGATGATTTTGTGACTTGCGTGCTAGCGGAACCAACGTAGAATCAAACGGTCTTTCCAAGTTGGAAAATGTTAATTATTATTTTCATTGTAAAACGGGTCGTCACTTTTAGCCCGTGTTTGCGAGTTGGTTGTCGTATCCATAACATAGAGTTTTCTGTTCGTGGCGCCTTGTAACGCGTCTGACAGTGTGAGTCTGTGTGACCAGAATCGAAACGCATAAATAAGTGCTTGCTCAAATGATCTGATCTCAATGCGCAGCCATGATCTCAAGATATTTTCAGCGAAAACGCAACTGTCATCATTTAGCGTATTCTATCAGACTACAGTCTTCTCCACTCCGATAACGACACACATATAGCCACGTCTGGCCACTTGAAACATGTTTTTCCCGAAAACATGTTGGGCTGACAGTGTACGAGCTCGGAAGGAGCACAGGCAGCATTTCCCGGCATCGCAACGCGTCAAAACTGCTGGTTGTCACGACTTTATTGTGGAAATCACCAATATAAGCAAGGAAGTTCGGCCTTAGTTGCGTATAGTCCTTATTTTAATTTGTTTTCCCTGTGTCTGCATGAACTGAGTTGTACTGTTGCGGTCGCTCCGAGCCGAACTGATTGGTGACTGAATACTGTTTTTAATTCCATCTGCAGTAAAATGCTGATACTTTTGACAGTTGTTGGCACTTTTGGGCTAGTGCTGATGACCTTTGCGGTGGCTGAACCCCAGGGTAAGAGCAAGTTCCCACACCAGAATAAAATGTTTTGTGCCTTGGCATAATTGTGAGTGATTGCCACAGACACTACAACCATCGCCACAGACACCACTACAGAACCGATGTGGCTTCTCACCGGAGTGACTAACCCGAAACCTTCAGGGTATTGGGATATATTTTATCATAAGCGCGACTGCAAGAATGGACCCGGCGAAGAGTCTTTGACGTGCGTACCAGAAACGGGCGTTAACTGTGACTGCTGTCATGTTTTAAGTGAGAAAACGCGTTGCGACAAGAAGGCGAAGAAAGAAGAAGGCATGGATGGAACTTTAATCGCCCTTTTTCCTTAACTCAATAACCCTTGCAGCAGTAATATTTACGTGGTATTATTGCACATGAACACTGATGCGCGCTATAAAGTGTAAAGGCTGGAAACAACATTGCAAATCCTGATATTTAATAAAACACTACATAATGATGGATTTATTGGCTTCGTGTGATGAAGCACTGCCGGTTTACGGCAGTGGACAATGATAAAAAACACAAGTGGAATTTTCTCAGCGAAAACATTCCGTATGCAGTCAAATAGAAAAGTGATACTGGTGATCCTACGGTTCACGAACAACATTATACTAAATTATAAAAGAGAGTCAAATAGAATTGTTATGGTCTGATCAGCACGAAACGTCGACGGTTATTGGACAAAGTCATGTTCCGTTACACTGCGAGGTAGAACCCATTTCGCAACAACATCTTGTGGCGCAATCAAAAATTCGTGCCCTTTTAGATCTGTAACAAGAGGGCGATTAGTCGGCTCACGCTCCAGACAGCTCTTGACAAAACTTCGTACTGTTTCCGGCAGAGCATCGGGAATGTGCGGGGAACCTTCCTGCGTTATAATGACGCACATTATACCGAATAGGTTGGTAGCCTTCTTTACCCGCTGACCCTGATCACCTGTGACATAAAATTCCGGCCACCCACGGTTAACCACCTCCAGGACAACGCATCCCAAACTCCACACATCCAGACAAAAACTGCGCCGACTAGCTAGGCCCGGCGGTTGGTATTGCGGAGGTGTATCAGAGAAACGTTCGGGGGCGAAAAAACGATAGTAACTGTAATCGCGGCGGTAGGACCATTTATGGGTGACGTCCTTGATGTTGCCAAGCCCAGCTATTTTCACAAGGTAAGTGCCTGTTCTAGTTGGTGCCACCAGGATGTTACAACCACGAAGGTCACGGTGAGCACAACGGTGTTCGTGCAGATACGCCAGACCGTCGACAACCTGCCGCATCATGTGTTGGGTCTGCAGGGGAGTTAGCTCCACTGAGCAGGCAGTATCATGGAGAGTGTCCCCTATCATACATCAATAAAACGGTCACTTATATACTGTAATTTTATACTGTACTTATATACTGTAATTTTCTAACGAAGATGAATGCTTTAGAAATAACTTGGGCATAATAAAAAACAACTGAATTCTTAAGCATATATTGGTACACAAAAATTGACAAATCACTAAGATTTCCGTAAAAAGATGTTAATGGAGACTAATTTACACGAATTACTGAGATTTGCTCAAAAGTCTAGAACTTGTCATTAGCGTCATCCATTATTTTCGTAAGGATAGCGCGCAGTGCTTTTAAAAGAGGTTCTGGCCTTCCTGCAAATCTGATTAAATTCCCGGAAAGTATAGGTCTTGCTGTTACATGGCTTACTTCCGAAAAGCTCAATAAAAATCTCAAAGCGATACAGTCGTTGTTGTCCTTTCATCTGCTCCTGGTAATGCATATGGCGCAGGAGATTTGGATGGCGCAGACGTGTTATCCAGTCAAAATTCGATTTGAGAGTGTCAAGTTGGCGGCTGCAAATTTCATCTTCGTCCTTCCAGGACGCAGCATCCTTTCCATTCACGTTGATCGTCTTTACCACAACCACCTCACCCGTATCGGTCCGTAATGCTTTATGAATACGACCGTGGAAATGACTAGCCCACCATGCCCAATGCTCCAAATTGATGATGCGTATATGAGATGTGGTGATATCCGGGAAAATTTTGGAATCCATTGTATCCGAGCGATTGTGGCTGTGACCATAATCTCCAAACCTCCCCGATTCCATAACACCATACTAAAGAATAAATGCGGTGTTTCTGGTAGTTGGGAATATTTTCAAGCTTTCAGCAGCCCAGAATCGCATTAGTTAAGGGAATCAGAGAGAATGCAGTTGTGTCTGACCAAGAAAGCTAGATAGGTATCTACTGAGTATGTTCTTGCTCTGGCCACCCCCGTCATTGTGCTCATGCTGCAGCGGGACAAAACAGATTATTAGTCCACCTGCTGCATTCAGATTTCACCGGTCAGTCCTTCTCAGACTCTCTCTGGCTTCTGTCTGTGCCATATAAGCATGAACCGCTTATGAGTCATCAAGTAACCAAGTATTAAATGGTAGAAAAAGCGGGGACGGCGAAGTAAGAAAAGTATTCGTGCAGAAGCATGCTTGAAGGCCTGGCTTCACTTTGAGAGTCCAGAATAGATATCACTGGATGATAGTTTCAATTCTGAGTAGAAGGTACACAGTTCAAGAAACCCGTGGGTCGTGGTGACATCGCTCTAGTTTGTACTATTTACCGCTAATAAAATCAGCATTACATATGACTATAACAGCCACGAATTATGTTTGCACAGTCACACTTATGTTCATATACAAAAACTCATAAAAGGAACGGCACGGGCCGCCAAAACCTTGCCCGGCCCGCTTGGTCCGGCCAACCCAGCACTATCATAGATACGCTCAATCTACAGCTTGAGTATGGCGCGGCTGTTCCAGATACGGGATGCAATGTCAAGTAAGACGCTTAACTCTTTTATGATGTCATTTGCATCTCGTGGCATTATCCGAACTGGTTGTGCGGTTCTGAATGAAATACTGGACAGAACATTCACGACTACGAGACAATCCAAGGATGCTGTACTTAAAAGCCGCTTTTTGTGCAACCGGTGTAATGTTGCATCGAGACGGAAAATGTCTGCAGCACATATTTACATACAACCCAACCGAAAATACTGAGATGAAAAACATCGTACTGGATTATTTGCAAATTGTATCGCATGTCATGATGCGATCATATCAGATATATCTTGAAGGTTGGAGTTGTGGTACAGTGGTACTGACTAGGCTGCAGAACATATACCCATCAATTATATGTAGCAGCGATAAGATTACAGTGGCGCTTCTTCATTCAAATTACAGCAATAACATTTGAACCAACAAAACGCAGTCGTTGACTCACAGGAATTATTCGCAAAGAGAAACCTACGAGTGAAAACCAGTTCCGCGTTGTACCGTAAAGAACCATCGGAAGTCAGAACGGTTCGAAATTTCGAATACCGTATGTAAAAATCCGTGTCGAGTACTGTCGACCAAAGTCGTGCTACGTGGATGCCGCCAACCCACTACAGACAGCTAGCATACCGGTCATCAGCCTGGACATCAAGCATTTTGCATGCACTGCAGTTCGGACCGTTGGTCGGCCCGCAGTGACCATCACAGTCGTCCTTTCCGACCAGAACACGCCGACCGCAGTAGTACAAGCCGGTGGTGCCTTTTCTGCACGTGGCACCTTCCTTGTTGACCAGATAACCCTTTGGCAGGCACCGCGCAGCAATGTCCAGCTTCATGCATGCTTGGCAATTGCAACCGTTATCTGGTCCACAGAACCTAGCAGGTGAAAACCACATGTTTCAATCTGAGCATGTCAAAACTTGAGTACTTAAATCTATTGCATAACGTATTAATCATAACAGAGGAAATTTTGATTAACAATATCGTCATCTGCTTATCGTCATCTAGTAGCCAAATAAATTGTATACATTGACGTGAAAACCACTTGGTCACGCGAAGACTGTTTGACAAAAAATTTAGATAAAACTGGATTTAAGTAAAATTAAAAGCAAACCGGTGCACCAACGTCATTATCGACAGATCTTCTTCAAACTTTTCACGTGAAGACCTTTGACAGGGAGATTATTTTTAATCCAAACCCGATCTTTATTATTTTTTAAAATTTGTTAAAGTGGGGTTAACAAATTAAGGAACACCGAACACCGTTGGCGGATGTTGGGCGCACAAGCTGGTTTAATTTAATTACGACAGGTGTCGCTCTACGCTTCGTACCCGTCACAGCAGCGGCAGTTCCCGTTAAGCGCCTTTCCGCAGTAGTACTTGCCGCTAGCCCCCTGTCGTGCCACGTTCCCATCGGGATTGTCCCGAATCCGGATGCGGTCTCCATCTTCCCCTTCCACAGGACTGCGCATGAAAAGTGCCACTGCGTTCTTTAGAAGTTGATCGCTATGGGAACCGGCAATGTGATCAATAAATCCTTTTGGATTGCCGGTATATTTAAAACCCGGCGCAGTACACTGGGTCATCCGATCATCACACATCGCCATATGGTCGTCCACGTTTCCTCGCGTTACCGCCGCTTGGCAAAAGTGACAATGGGCCGGGAAGTCGTTAATTATTCGCCGCGCGAGATGTGAATCCACCGAATCAAAGTCGTCCTCGCGGCAATTGGGACATCGGTCGTCTCGGAGGCGTAAGACGCACTGGGAGCAGAAGATTTTATGACAGCACGTCGATTCAACGGCTTTAACGGCGAGTTCCAAACAGATTCCACATTCTAAGTGTCCAGCAAGTTTACCGTTCATTGCTCACAGCTCGGTTGGAACATGTGAGGCTGTATATCAATCTGTGGTAATAATTAAAGCTTCGATTTTAAACAAACAGATAATACGCATGTCCAATGCGGCCTTACAGCGAAGTTGAGATAACGTTTTGCTGAATACAGTACAGCAACAGTCCAACATAGCTGCCATTCATTATGAGTATATTCCGCAATTAAATCAACGGTAAGCCAGTTTCGCTCGGGAAATAAGATAAGGACGATGTGTCATCACCGAAAAACACGAACGATTTTCTTTCTGCTGGTAGGGTACGAGTATAATAGTCATTTCCTGCAATGAGAAAACCGGAAACGCGATAATGGCTTTGTCTTACCATTACTTGTAACTTTGTATGATCATTTTATCCGACTGTTTTCTATAGGCTGCGGCAGGTTAACATCTTGCATCAGCAACCGCGTTAAAACTGCCTGATGTTATGCGAAGAACATGATGTGAGCACGCTGAGATCAAGTTATCCAAAAGCGCATATTACATCATATTGTATAGAAGTATATTACATCGTACAGTCATAATTTCCTACAAAACCGGACTGCGTGCAACCATCTGTACAGCCCGGCATACCAGTAAAGTGTTAACGGCTATCTCGATCACGACTTTATCACACAAGACTCATTACACAAATAATAATATTATGTAGTTGCGGAAAGACATACATGCTTAACTTCTTTTCGTCCCTCGTGCAGATCTTTATGCGGTGATGATAAGTTTATGGAATTAATTACGGATTTTTGTGTTTGGCAACTAGCAAGGCACAGAGTCTGGCGCGAAAAATTAATTGTAACTTACTGCAAAATAGTGTTGTCAGTGTTGCGACGCATTTAATAAACTGGCTTTTGCCGAACGCAGAATTTTTTGGTTCGTAAGATGGTTTAAATTTCCGGCGCCATGTAGCGAGCCTGTTAGCTTTACTCAGGTAGTCAGGTATAATATCCAGAAACAAACTACTCCGTACACAATTATATATTTGAGAAAACACTCAAATGTGTAAATTTATAAAGCTTACCGCTTAAAAATTCTTTCCCAAAAACATTTTCAAGTGACAGGGTGCGTAAATGCATGCTAAGATTCATCGTTAACTGAAATCATAGATCAGATTTCAAGAAAGGCCCTTCTTACATGCCACTGTCATCATTTATAGTATTCGATCGAACTACTGTACATGTAATACCTTCACGATTCCAGTAATATTACACATCAGTACTGCGATGGCTAGCCACTTGAAGGTGATTTTCCCGAAAAAATGTTCGGTCGCAGTGCACCAGCTCGGCAGAAGCGCAGTCAGCATTACCGGTACCAGCGGTTGGCGGGCGGAGAAAAGAATAAACTGCTGGCTGCCAAAATTTTACCGTATATACGTATATAAGAAAGTGAATTCCGTATTACTATTGTGATTTAAATTTACCCTTGAGATAGTGATTCAGTCCGTAGTGTTGTAGTGAACGGTCTGTTTCTAACTGATTGCTAGCTTTATACTGCTAACCAGCCACCACAATGGTTGCCCGTCTGCCGATTTTGGTTCTCGCTGGACTGTTGACGTTGGTGACCTTTACAAGGGTGCAGTGCGGTGGTATTTTTTTCGCAGCCGCAGGCTCCTGATGAGCATGTCTTACTTATCACTTCGGGTAGGAGATACGATCTGCTTTATAAGAGATTTGACATTTTGGCGATAAAAACAAGGTTTTCCGAGATAATTGCTGCTTTAATGGCGGACACAGTTACAATTATAGTCGGCTTTATAAGTAGAAGTATAAATTGTGTGAATTTGTGGAAATGCCGATTATTTAGAATTCGGTTTAATTAGTGAGAAAGGAGTAGAAATTTCGTGGAAGAAATAAACGATCCCTGGTGCTTCCTTCCCAACTAACTTCAACAGTGATGTAAAATAAAAATCTTGAGTACTTATTTAATTGTAGGAATCGGAGTTGCTCAGTTTGAACACATGTAGAATTGCAATCAGACAGACCCATTACAGGCTTTGCAATACCTTCATTTCTCTCATACTTGGTTACTCGGGGCTAATGATTTTGTAAAGAAACTAAAATGTTATACCAGCATATAAAGGTGGTTTCAATTAGACAGCAATCAGCTCGGTAAATTTCAATAAAACACTTTCAGTTTTTCCAGAGAAGCAATTTAAGCAACCAACAGGTGGACAATCAAAATAAAATAACAGTGCTAACTGCGCAGGCGGACTTCTGAAGCTCATGATATGTTTAGTAAGATTGTCGTCCTCTAAGTTAATAATGTACTCTGTAAAAGGAACAATCTCCTGGAAAAACGTTATTTTGCAGCATCGCCAACTCATTTGAAGAACCAATTCTTGAATAAGAGGGGATTTCGGGTCGCCCATGTGTACAAGTTTCTCAAGGACCAGGACACCTTGCCTGATTACTACGGTTTCTTATTCAAATGCGGGAAGGATAAATTCCCAGAACTCGTTAGTATGACGAAAGAATCCCTAACGAAAACGTATGTACCTAGGATAAGTAAACGAAGGCCTTATTGGATTTTGCACCACATATCCCAGATTCAGCAAACGTATTAAATTGAAATATGTAAAACAAAAATATGTTTTTTCAACAAAAAATATAAATATGTTTTTACAGCCCTCACCTTTCGAAAACTCCGCCCGCGGCCTACTATATCCACAAGAAATTGTTGGATGTTCCACATGACCTACAGATACTTCCGCAGCTGGGAAACATGATCGATTTTGCGGATGAGCTGTGGGCGAATCAGCCCAGCACTAAGTATTTTGATTACGAGAATTTCTATCGAGGTATAAATCAGGAGAAACGTGCTGTTATCAACCTGGACGGCAAAACCGCCCAACAAGCTTTTGCGGATTACGCGGAGCCAAATTCCTTTCCGAAATCATCCCCGTCCGAAGCAAAGAAGACATTTCCAAAGCTTTGGAAGTAGGACGACTTGTCCAGTCAACTCCCTACAAGGACCTACCCTGTCAGGAATCCGATTGTTTAGTACCTCCTCCATTGTAAAGTAGGGAGCGTGTGTCTTTACCGAACGAGCATGCTTAGCTGCGGTTTTCATTTGTTGTGGTAGTTTATATAAGAGATTCATTTTTCATTTATGGTTGTATCGTTTCTACAGGTGTTTTACAGTCGATAAACCGAATTTTTATTAAGAATTTTACCCCAGAAGAGACTTAACACCATATGAATTTGCAAGCTGTTAGACGACGACTGATTTCGCATATCGACAGGGCTATATTTCGCAACAGGGTAAAATCATTTCCACGACCTTTTATTAGAGATTAAGGGAAGAGCTCGAGCGGTTTGCATTATCGGACCCTCTGCTTCAATTTGCCTGTGCAAACCACTAGTACAGCCCAATGCAAAATGCCCACAAACGGCCAAATTGACAGCCGTTTGTTTGATGTTTGTTTATTTATTCAGCTTAACGTCTACAACGATCAGGATAACTTCCTGCATTAGTTGGCAAACTGCCGTATACAAAAAAAAACGTTCAAGGCAACGCAAAGTAAAAATCAGATTTACTACAAGTTTGAACCAATATGCGAGAAACGTTGAGTCCACTTTACATCTTCCATTGGAGGTAATCCAGAGAGGTTTTGAAACAGCCGGTTTATTCTGCCACTGTAATTGTGCGTCCTTGGGTAGCTTAATTCCGTTCCACAAACTGGCTGCTACCTGCTAGAATGGAAAAGCTCGGTCACGTAGAAATGAGAAACGACAAAAGGTCAATCTCATGGACTCCCAGACGAGATGCGCAAAGCTCCGGTACTGAAATTTCAGTTTAAATTATCAGCGATCTCCTGTCTCATGATGCGGTAGCAATCTAGTCGCCCACATGCATGCGAACAGAGGGCGAATAGTGGTCTGGGCGGATGTGAAGTGGGCGAATAAAGAGCCTTTGTACTGGGCTGTCAGAGAAGCGGTTTCTTTGCCCCACCAGTCGCTTTTAAAACCATCACCACTCGCGCATCGTTCTCAGCACCTGCAATCGTTGCAATACCTACAGTACACTTAATTTTCTGGTTGCCCTGGGCTGTTCCAGGACCAGTGTCCCGCCGTTGTCAAACACGTGGGTGAGATCGTGTGCGATTTAGCAGCCGAAGCCGCCGTAATTTTGTTAGTGCTAATTTCGGTGGTTTACAACGGCATCTGCAAAACTCCTAGCCGAATCGCTGCCAATAAACCGTTTTACGAAATTACCCATATACATACCGTATAGGACTAAAGAAACTGAAATTGACCAGTCGTTCACGCTTAAAAAAGTAGAATAAAATCACCAAAAGTGCATAGCAAGAACCAGTGAGCGCACATCACCATCAGTGGAGACCCATAGAGAAGCGCTGGTTGAAAAACGAGACGTATTTTTTGTACCGCTGTAATGCATTGCGTAAAACTGTGTTACAACCAATAACTAAGCAAGGCCTAAACGAGTATTAAAATTGCCTCTTAAGTACATCTTTAAGCAGTTGGAACAAAAGCTGACTATGAAGTATAAGTACATACAGAGAGCATTCACTGCAATGAATATCGTTAGTCGCTCGCACCAGTCAATCCAGCACGCGATCAAAGAAAGTGCGCAGCGCAAGCACCACATGCCGTTGAATTATCGATCCGAAGAACCGCTACTTAGCACCAAATGTACCAGGCAACCCATGCTTGCACTGTAATCGAACTCGATCGGCAGATAGCCATAATTTCAGCAGATAGAATGTGTACACAAAGAAAAATTTTCTTTGCCGAATAATGTGTTCGAGAACGCTGGAGACTCTGTTAGATAAGCTATACTACTCATATTTTAATGTTAAATTCACAGTGGACGTGGTGCGAGATGACGTAATACGGCGGGGATATGTTACGGATGTTGCTGACGATGGACTCATTATCGACTTCCATAATAATGGCCCATCGTCAAGGGAACTGGTTGAATTCTCCTGCATCCGCACATTGCCATCCAAAAAGTATGACGCCGAACGTTACCTCCAGCCACTCCAAGTGAATTCCAAGGTGGAGGTACTCGTTCGAGACGCGCTGTGAGTGAAAGGGATTCCTTTTACTGAAATTCTTGTCTTGGGTATGACCGTGTAATAGTGGTTGTCATTTCCACGGATAGGGATCAGCCTCTGACCTGGAGAACAGTCACCTTCATGGCAGTGGTGCCTGAAGACGGTGACCGCCGAGCCGAGCACGAGGGTGGACAATTTATCGTGGTCCGACTGCAGTCCCGGAATCCGTTCTCCTTGGCCGTTGTAAATAATGTATTCCCGCCGACACTAGCCACTGATATACGTATCCGTCAAACACGATTTTGGCGAACCGTCACACCGAAGACTTTCTACAAAGTGACCGTGCCGTTGCTGCCGTACGCAGTATGCAACAAAGGCGGTTGCACTTTTCCACGGTCTTCACTTCTGTATTATATGAAGCTACTGGATGTTAGTATGAAGATCGTATGGCTGGAAATGACGAGCACCCTTATTATATCTGCAGACGATGTCAGTGTCACCGTGCTTTGCCGCGTCAAAACTAAAAGACTGCCCAAGAAATTTCATCGATTGGTTTATCACTTATACAACAATTTTATGGAGCGATATCTTGAAAAAGGTTTGGCTGGATGTTTAGCTTTCTGTTTAAGCGACGAGTCATTGCTGCAGTGCAGTCAATTACAGTAGGTACCCTACTGGGTAGTAGTTATCGTAATCGCTAAAGGAAACCACAGAGTTGATAATCTTGCTTAAAGAATTGTAGTAGTACAGTGGAAGAATGAAGTGAAATGACCAATGTGATCTCAGTTCATGCAGCGCTATCCGTTAAAAACTTCGATACCTAATCCAAGACAAATACAATTTTTGTAACACCTTTCTGGTACGTTCATAACTGCTTTGCAAAGATTTTTGTTTTGAGCTTAGGCGGTACCACTCGAGTGGATGCATGGCTCACAAAAACGATCCGAAAACTACTGTTTTTTCCCAATTGGTTGGCATCAAAATCAAAAGTCGCGGGTATGTCAAATTGTCAGTAACGAAATTTTATTCTTAGCATACAGCTTCTAGACGAAGAATCGGAAAACGCCGTATCGTCTCGATAATATAAAAGTATCATTTTTATACAATGAAAATTAGGATGGTGAGGATTTTATTCAATTTAGTGTAGAAATTTTCTACGCTTCTACTCATGGGAGAAACTGCACGGCTGTAAAAAACAGAAACATTGCCTCAGAGAAAAGCAGGATGCGGTAAACATACCCTGCAGTGGTAGTGGTCATAAAAAGATTAAGAAAAGAAATACAGTAACAGTGCTCCAATGCAGTTAGCTCATTTGAGTAATTTGCAGGTGCCCTGATTTTTAAAGGCATATCTCAGGATCACGAGGCACTTCCAACAATACATCTACATACCCTACCGGATATACTACTGCGGGAGACATTACAAAACTTGGACAGAATAACACAGACAGATCTGAAACGGTTAGTGGGAGTTCATTTGTTTATGTAGTGCTTGGTTACACCGTTTTAAAATCAGTTGTTGCAACGCTCTGAGGCACATAGGGTTCTCATATCACTTTTCCGCTGCTTTTCTACAGTCATAGTGAGACTAAAATTACTAATGGCACCTCAGTTCGCAGCAAAATACTACTGTCACCACTGCCCGAAACAAAGATCAAGGTAATTTTTCTACATACGGGTCATCTGAGTATTACATGCTGTTCAGTTTTCATTCAAATTTGTTGATCTATTTTTCTTGCGACACTGTCCACTCTACTCGTTGAATAAAGCCTATTGATTTTGCTACAGTTCGTTATGGGCAATAAGAAAGTGAAGCCTTGTGATGGCAACCCATAGAGCGCAGAAGGGGCACTACAAAATTGATTCAACGCATATACTGTATCTAAGCGGAAACGTCAGCATAGTAGGTGGAAAAAGCTTTGGAATTCTTCCGCTGATACTAGGAAAAGTTATCAAAAGAGTTGCTTAGAGTGCAGTTTTAAATACAGATGGTTTCTGATCCAGACCGAAAAGTAGATTCCCGGTCAGCGAGGAACTTGTCGGGAAGGAAAACGGAGGTCAGAGTTTTGACTTGCTGCCCCATTTGGCATCACCGTAAACTCGATAACCTATATAGTACAATAATGTAGTGCAATTAAAAAAGTGTGGTCGCTAGTCGCTACTGTGGTGGATTTGAACATTAGTCAATTGATCATTTGCAATGCCGATAGCAGTCTCCTTTGTTTGTACAGAAAGTCAAATTTCTGTATTGTAGTGCCATCCGTCAATAGTGATTTGCTGTGAAATGGCGTTAGGGTTCAATCCTAAATATTATGCAATCCTAACCGAAAAAACTGCGTGGAAGAAATAACCGTCCGCAAAAACCTATTGCTCTTTCGTCGGCAAAACCGTTCGACGGTAAAAAATCGTCAGCGGATCGTGAATTTTACCTTTAGACAGTTACGCCGGAGCGTATAGTGGTAGCGGACGGTTTTCTGAAGTGTATATTTTATTACCGCCGGTTTTCCCGACTGTCTGCTGCAAATTATCGTACGTTGCAGAGTGTGTCGAAGATGGTCAAGACTTCAGTCAAGCGTCACGGCAGAGAAGTGTGTAATTCTGGATGCTCCGACCGACCGTTCAGATCACCCTATATACCTGGCGAGAGCACTGCTGAAGTACACCGCCATATCGACACGAAGTTTGATACTGAAGCAGTTTCCTCCCAGCCACAGCTACACGGCCATGCGATTAATAAAAGAGATGCAGCTGCAGTTAGAGGTTTATGTATCTTACCGCTGTACAGTTACAGTATACTGGCTCGATAATATGTTGGACCTTTTTCACGAGCTATGTTGGTATCCCGCAGTCAATAACCTCCACATTTCCTGCATCATGAAATCAAAAGCGCCGAGCAACTTACGTTAGGTACAATAAGCAAACACACTTCCAAATGTTCTGGTTAGTGTGTACCATAGACGTTAACATATTTCTGTTATGGATGTTCACCGGTTGTCTAGAAATAATTATGGCAACCCCGGACGAAATAAAATGGCTGCAGAACCTTCTGGGTGACGGCTGGACGTTCTGCTGCTCGACTACAACCATGAAGGACTCAGTGAGGGGAATTTCACAAGTGCTGGATGCGCTAAATCTCCGCTGTACTATACACGGCAAGCTATCCGATGCCGTGGAATGCCCGCATTATTCGCAGTGGGAAGGAGGGGAACGATTGAAGAACGATCTGGAACGCTGGCCTATAAATGCAGTAGCGTTCGACGCCTTAAAAAGGGGACTGGAAGATTACTGTCCGCCGATCAACACGATTCCATATTGTCACGTACTGGGATTCCATTCAGAAATTTTGAAAGTGTTAATTCGGAAACCCCGTTTGGTTGGAGAGGAATACTTCAGTTCATGCGGCGTTCAGAGCTGGTTTCGATTTACTGGCTGACTTTCTAAGTTTATACCAGTCTTCCAGATCACCACTGAAAATTCGATTGATCAACGTCAAATTTTACAGTAAAGACTGTAAAGCGTATCATTTTTACTCTTAGAATTATGGGTACATGCGCATGCAATGAACGGGTTTATTTTATCGACAGTAGGCCCCACTGTCAAAGGACATTTTTAACTCAATATGGAAAGAATCAAATCGCTTTAACCTGAAATTGCAGTTTCTGAATAAATAATGGAATAAGTTGATGGTTTCGCGTGCATAAATCAAACTATGCCTTTATATTTTGGATTAAAACCGATTCAGTTATGTATTCCCGCTTTTTCAGGCAAAAGCAGAGAGCTAGCTAAAGGCAGTTTTTAGTGCCGGTGTATTCTGTTCGTACCTATGTAAAATTTTACAGGGGCACGTTCAGCATTGAAAAATCAGTAAACAACGGATACCTTTTGCCGGGATGAGCGGTTATTTTCGAAAGTTTGAACACATGCATTTTGTTCCCCATTTTTTCCACTGATAGTCCGGCGGATGAAACGGATCAACTCGGCAGATGCCCTTCAGAGTTTCCAGTTCCCGAGCGATTCGACTGTTAGTGGGTGGATTCGGCAGAAGAGATGCAGTGTGCGCTAGTCGTTAAAGCACAGAGCTAAACTGGTCCCTGCAATCCAGGAATCCATACTCTTTGACGGTTGTAACTATTTTACAGCCGCCGTCTGTAGTCAGTGATATCCGCCGAAATCGACTTCGGCAAACGCTCACCCCAAAGACATTCTACCAGGTGACCGTGCCATACACATCATATTCGTGCCACAGGGCCGATTGTTCGTTTCCACGGTCACCTCTTCTGTGTTATGTGAAGCAGCTGGACGATTATATAAAGTGAGTCTGGCTGGATTTGACGGGCATGTTAATTGTGTCCGCTGACGATGTCAGTGTCACCGTGCTTTACCACCAGAAAGCTAGGCGGCCCCCCGCCAAGTTCCATCGAGCGGTTTTCACTCACACAACCAGTTTGTGGGGCTATATATGAAAAAAGATTGGGCTGGAAGTTTAGTTGCAAGCAAGTAAATAGCAGAAATAATCTTAATAATTAAAAAACAACAGTGTGATCTACCTTGTTCAGAGAACAATAAAAATAATTCCGTAATGCCAGTTTATGTCGTTAAATTATTAAATTTGATTACTATTATTCTAAAATCAGAACAAACACAGTGTTTTCGTAAAACTGCTCTGCTACATGCATGTATTGTACAAGCCCTCTCAAAAACCGATGAACACCGAAAGCTTTCCGGTGGCCCGGCATATCGCCCAGAAATATTACAAAAACCTTCTGTGGGTCCAAAAAAAGAACCGATCAGAAAAAATCTACACGTATCATACAATATTCTGGTCACAGACTCACAACGAAAATCTGTGGCAAGAACTTTATTACGAAACACAGATCACACACACACAGATTTTTTGCACGCACGCTGCAAAAAACCGGCAAGAAAATTCATTATAAAAAAACACATTCCGCGATCAACGGAGTTAAGAGACTAGGGCATCCATTCACAGTGCGGGCGTTCTTCACACTTAGAGGATCTCGTAGACGTCGTTCCCGTGCATCCGCGTAAGGGATAAGGATCGGAGGCCACCCGCCAGCAGCACGCTTCGTAGTCGGCGCGCCGGCGCCTCCACATCCTACGTCTCCGGCACCGCGCAGCCCGCTCTACAAACATGATCAATTAATGTCGCAATGATTTCTCGTACGACATCCTTCACTAAAAAATCAGTTACCAATTTTCTAGAATTCATTTCGAATATATACATCCACACTTTTTTTAGTGAATACATACTGTACTCTGTAATTGGCATTTAATTAGAATAATCCAGCGCTTTCGCGTAATATATCGCTCGAAACAAATCCGCTTTAATTTTCTCAGTTTAATTTAAATTGGTTGCCGATATAAATTCAATCATAATTTTCCATGATTACCGCGGTTTCGCATGCTACAGTATCACTCGGAAAAAAATCAAACATCACTCTGTTAAACGCACTTAGCCACAACTCCAGTTACTCTACGATATATCATACATGTACTGGTGATACCATCCGATTTAATTTTCTTAATCAAATTTAAATTTCTTCCCCATTATCATTTTGTTGTGATTTTATTCATTTAAATTAAACGACTTTGAACCTTTTATCCGCTTTCCAAATTTAATTTTGATGTTTATCTAGGGTTTAGATTAGTTCTATATTCGATATAAATCGTTTCGATACTGTGGTGTACTTTTAATCGCTTTGATCAAGAATAAATGCCAAATAATGTGTGAGCGCTAAGAGGAGAAATCTGGTAAAAAAAGGCTGACGAAAAACTCAAGCGAAAATCAGTTTTCGGCACGATAGAAATTTAGGAACATCACATGAAACTTAACATACAACTGGAAGTACTGTACAAGTATATTTTACTATAATACAGTACGAGTATATGGGCAATTACAACGACTGCACATTTATAGGCAATTATAGGTATTTTATACTGTACAAATACGGAAATAAAATATGGTACAAATAATAACCGTGAAAAAATTCCATGATGTGAGTATTTTAAAATTACTTTGTTCAGCAGAACGTGCTTATTATAATTGTACTGGTACTGTCGTACAATGGTGTACATGAAAACCACTACGTTTACAAGTTAGATGTACGCGCACAGCCACGGCTCTACGATTCATCATACTCTCGTACACTCATCAATCCTGCAGGAAAACCTTCTTGTGTCTGCGCCAGCAGTAGAAATTCTCAAAGACGACATAACTCACGCCCAACTGCCGATAGATACGGTGGACTTGCCGCGGGGATTTCCGGCTGTACATCTAATACACGCTCAACGTTTTCTCCCTGAAAACATAGCCATAATAAAACCTGATCAAATTATACAAGAAATTTGGAATTAGATTAAATTACTATTCAAAATCGCTGACTGTATCTACGCATTCTCGTAATGCGTATGGTTGACAATCGGACGTCCGGTGCTCAGGTTGGCTATGGTGTGGCCATCGGGTCGGCAAACATGGCATCTGCCGTAGCAGAAATAAACATAACAACAATCATAAAGCAAAAACAAATTTATTTTAAACAATAAACCCAAGCAAAAATATATTTTCTAAGCATTTCACCACATTTACGCAAAGGGGACAAAATTTGGTAGTTCATACCGTTACTTGGTAAATTTGGTAGGATAAAAATGGTACTGTTACTGGTAGTACCACTACCGGTAACAGTACCATTTTTACTACCAGTACCAGTAACATTAATTAGTACTACTCTCTGCAGACAATTCGGCTAATTAAAAAGTTATGCTTTACACAATTATATCAACATATTATCTGCCACAGACAGGAAAGCCGAGAGCCGCATAACACCACAGGCCGCTTACAAAAATGCCACTGCTCTACACGTGTTAGTGCTGAACTGCATCAGTGAAAGAATGCACATTGCAGGCTTACGACTTACGAGTGAAGCTGAATACCAAGCGAACGTAATCTTACTTTCCTATCGTGAAATCCACGTCAGTTTAATTGTGAATTTTCTAATGTCAACTTGTATAAATTTTAATTTTTTATAATTTCAATTTTTTTATAAAACTTTTTTATTCATTTTTATTCAATACATTTTTATTTGGGTATAAATTTGTCAGACTTATAAATAAATCCTTTTAATATGCAGTGACCGAATTAAATTAAGACAAGAGAAAGCTCGTATTCCGCGTGAAGCTTACGCTAGCCTAAAAAAGCGGATACAGATTTTTATAATTTCAAAAAGCCGACTGTAAAATGCTATGAATTTATGGCCACAAAGTCTGAAAATCAATACGTTAGAATATACCAGATCACCACGGAGAAGTATTAAAAACAGGTTCAGCTCATACCCACGAAAAACTACAGCGAAAACTATTCAGGGGTCAACTGTTCGTAAAACCTAAACGGGATAGCAGAATTCAATATGGCACACGAACGAATTACAATTAATTTTAAACTGTAAAAACGTTAGAATGAAAATGACGATCCCCGTTTCGAATTACGAATAAACCGGAAATAAAATTAAACAATCAACATACTCGTATTTCAAGTAAACAGAGGGACAGCCTCACTACACCGTCTAAACTCGGACGAAAAAGTCAAGAAGAAATTTTTTGGCTTAAATTTTTGGAGTACGTATTCAATAACGTTACGTATAATTCACCTGTGGAACGTTTCGTACCAAGGAAAAAAAGTGAATCGTTTTTTCGCACCTTGTAGTCACAGTAGACATCTGTATACATGCTGTAGACACTCTGTAGACCTATCGGTAGTCACCTGGTTCTTAGGATGTATACCGCGTGTCTACAACGGTGTCTACAGGTTGTCTACGGATGTCTACCGCTGAATACAGGCACCCTTTCTTAGGTTCAGCTCGATACTCTGCCTGTATACACCGGTAGTCATCTGTAGACAGCCCGTAGACACCACTGTAGACACTGTAGTCACCTGGTTTCTTAGGCTTTTTTGGATGTTTACAGGGTGTCTACAGGTTGTTTGCAGGGTGTCTACCGGTTGTCTACAGATGTCTACCGGTGTATACAGGCAGGCTTTCGTAGGTTCAGCTGGATGTTCTGCTGTATACATCTGTAGACGCACTGTAGACAGCCCGTAAACACCCAGGTAGACATACTGTAGTCAGCTGGTTTCTTAGGTTTTCTTAGGATGTATACAGGTTGTCTACAGGCTGTCCACAGGATATCTACAGGATATCTACAGGATGTCTACAGATGTCTACCGCTGTATACAGGGAGCCCTTCTTAGCATCAGCTCGATACTCTGCCTGTATACACCGGTAGTCACCTGTAGACAGCCCGTAGACACCACTGTAGACATACTGTAGTCACCTGGTTTCTTAGGTTTTCTTAGGATGTATACAGGTTGTCTACAGGGAGTCTACAGGTTGTCTACGGATGACTACAGTGACTACAAGAACGAAAAAAACGTTCCAGTTTTTTTCTTTGGTACGAAACGTTCCATATATATATAATTGCATGCGGATGCACGACAGAGCGCTCAAACTTATAGCCACTGCACTACAACCTCAGTATCATAAGTGAGAAACAAGTTAACCAGTTACGACTGACGATAAAAGGAAGGAAATAACGCCATCATTTTATTATTACAAACTTCGTAATCTCATAATATTAACAAAAACTACAAGGGCTATTGCCAAATGTCTGAAAGGATGAAACCAAGTTCAACCCGAATCTCAGTATCGCGCCCCATTTGAGATACACCATCACCACATTAATTTCTCTAAATTTATATCAATATTATTTTGAACTAACCAGATTTCCACAACATTCAATATTAATATTTATTAATATTTAAAACTAATAAATCATAACTAAATAATTTTAATCATTAATAATAATTAGTGTAATAAAAATTGTAATTGTTATTTTCCACGTGTGCCAAATTAATCGGAAATCCCGCAACGAATGTAGCAACTATACCTCCAATAAAATCAAACTCCGGCGCGCACATATACAGCATGGTATGGAAATTCTTCCAGCTGGTGAATCCGGCCCGGACAATCTGCCTGATATGCGCATCATCCACACCGGCACCAGCAGCACACACCCGATAAACTCGGCCATCCGCCAGCACGTCATGTAGCCGAAACGTTCGGCCAGCTGCACCTTGCGGACGGCAAAGAATTCCGTCAAAAGGAAGAAGAACTCCAGGAGGGCGTACTTCCGGTAGCAGGCGGTGAAGAGGAAGAGCAGGACGCCGGTCTGCGAAAGGGATAAAGGGAGCCAACTGCGGAAAATACTCACGTTTAAACGGAAATTTTAAACAGACTAAAATCAAAATATCGGCCAAAATTGCCAATTAAAAAAATATTACAAATCTGAAAGTCTCAAAAAATAAGGGAATTTTTAAATTAAAACAATTGATACACCGATGAAAATGGCCAACTATGAAATAAAGAAAGCAAGTTTGAAAAAAACAATTAGATGCGAATTTTTAAACGGAGCAAATTCTGTAGTTATCGGTAACATTGGCCAATTAAGGAATAATTACGCAATCTTTAATGAAATACTTATACAGAATTCTAAAATATTATTGCAGTAATTATTAATCAAATTATTCACGACAACCGTACTTAATATTACATTCCTGACAAAGCTGGAGTAGCTTAATTCTCAATCAAAACAATTACCAGCATTTTTTAGTCTTCCAAAATTTGAAATATGACAAAAAGCAAGATGCCACAGGAAAATCTATAATAATCTAGTAAATTATTTTTCAAATACTAAAACATCCAGGAGCCGAATTTGTGCTCAGGCAAAAATCCAAAAAAAAATTAAGTACGAGTAAAAACATCAGTAAATACTAATACCATAAAAATGAAAAACACCATCTTACAATTAAATTCACCTGCCACTGCAGAATAAACAGCCCCGACGTCACGCCCACCAGCGCGTTCATTTGCCAGCTGCGAGAGCCCGTCTTCACCAGATACGCCACGGCCATCATCTCCATGACGAAGAAGGGATAGCCGAAGCTCTCGCGCAGCGGCGGCGTCCACATGACCCGCGTGGCTTCCCCCGTGGTAGAACAGGAAGCACAGTGCAGTGTGATGACGCCGCCGCCGACGCTCTCGCTGAGCAGCCAGCCGGTCAAAAAGAGGACGCCCAACGGCAGACCGTTCAGACCGAACACTCCCAGTAATTACAGGTAAAAGAGATCTCCCAGACCCGTGCAGGCCGTCGCCGACGAGTGTCCGGCCCTGCGGTTGACGCGGAAACACGGCACGGTGGTTATGTCGAGGACATCGGGTGACGGTGGAGTAGATGCGGTAGACGCCGGCCAGAAAAACCTATCGCGATAGTGTTTTCAAGCTCTTATAATCAATATCAAGCTCTTATAATGTTTCACACTAATTTTTCATTTTCACACTAATTTTTCATTTCAATTTTTTTATCTTCAAATTTAAAGATTTTTCCCTTTGAAAAAAAAACAGGACTTTACTGGCTAGATATGCCAGTCAGAAAAACCTATCACAATTCAGCGCATTCCAGTATGGTAACACACGCTTTCAGTTTTTCACTCATTTTTCAACGAAGTTTTTACTTCTCAATTCTCAAGAGTTTTTCATTTTAATAAAAACAGGACATATTTTGAATTTATTTGGCCAAGCATAAGCTGCGGGAAGTATCTTCAACAGCTCTGAAACACTTCCTGCAGTTTTCAACTGAATAATTTTGCATACAGTGGTTAAATGCAAGTTATCGTAGCATACGCGGGTTCATAATTTCCTCTGTAACGTTCTGGCTCGCGCCGAAGTGATAAAATTGTAAAACAGTATCAATCAGAATATTTGTACTTTAAGCAAAAAATATCAATTAGATTTTTCAGGTGCTTAAGAACAGGAATATTTTAAAATAATCTAGCTTTGAAAACCTAATATATCACACTTTTTGCGTTTATATTTAAAGTTTTAAACAAACGAGTCAAAACGAAGGTAATAATGAGGCGAAAAAAGACGCATTAGTTGACATTACATAACGGTAAAGAAAACTGTCGATAATTGAATCTGAATCACGGCAAATTAACAAGGAGCACAGACCTTCTTCCGGATAAAGAATGCAGCGATTAATGAAGTTGACTTTGTTGGGATATTCCGTGCTGGTGTCGTGCATATAATCTCCATCACGCTGTTGGAAAAGCTCGGCGCCTCCACAATGCGTTTGTAAAACTAATAATACAGTCCCTAAAAACAGGGAAAAATTAGCCACAGTTTACCAGGCTCACAACCGGCCAGACAAAAAAATAAATTATAAATTATTTGTAAAAAATGACTGAACGAATTAAATCAGGTTTTTTCAAAATTATTTAACCAAGTAAAGGATCAGATGGCGTAAATACCCATCAAGCCACTACCAGTAACGTTTTCCTGACAAATAAACAACATTAAACCATATTAAATTAAGAATGTTTGAGCAGAAATGTTAGAATCCTCGAAAATTTAAAAAGCAACAGAAAAGTGAGAAAACCAGCAGACAAAATGCGATCACGTAAAGTTAAACACGGTAGCTATTATCAAACCCTGTACAACGTACGGCAGCAGTCACTTCGTCTACAGGACAAACACCAGATACGCCATATAAAACCTCACTTGTTCCGTACGGAATGTCATTTCCCGTTCCAGCTGCGATAAATGCGAAAAGACAGAAGAGCCGATCATTTTCAAACAAACTGGACAGATGCCACATGTAAAAGATGCCACAGGCCCCCGCGAAAATGCCCACCCGGCGGAAAAAAGCGCGGGGAAGCTGCGGGAGAGCTGCGCGCGGTGGAAGGTGAGCGCGTCGTGGATCGTCCAGTTTTGGCTCGCGGCGATGAGCGCAACGGACTGTGCAGAGATTTCATCAGCAGCGAGCATTTGCTGGTCCGGCGGGCGCGAATGTCGTGGATGTCAGATGACAATCTGGCCCGTGTGACCCGTGTCCATTTAATTTATCAACAACAAACCTGAAGAGATCCGGAAACTAAAAAACAATACGGAATAAATTGGAAAATGGAGAACGGGAAAAATAGTGGCAAATCACAAAATAATGATTTAAAAGTTAAAACAGTATTAAACACGCCCTAATGATCAAGAGCGAAGAAGTGGCGTGAAGTGGCGAGTTTATGTCCTAAGTAACCCGACGAAATTCGTTAAGTATCTGTACTTACTGTACCTCATTCTACAGAACCGCCCCAAATAAATTAATAATTTCTGATTTATTTTATTTTGACTGATTTATATTTTTATTTTATTTGAACAAATTTTTATTTTATTTGAACTACTCTGTAAGTCTGTTACGAGTACTTTTTCCCGGTGCCCAAATCATCGTCTATTTAATTTCCTTTTCTTCCTTCCCGGTTATCGAACTTTTTTAATACAGCAGCGAGGATAATTTCTGACTGATTGACGATTCTCGCCCGGATGGCGCCCTGTGGCGGTTGGGAGCCGTGCGCCTAAGGCGCGCCGGGAAGTCATCGTAGGCCCATAACAACAAGTGCTTATCCCGGCACTTTTTAAACAGCGCGTTTTTGCAAACCATGATGTTTGTTAATTGGGCAGGTACATGAAAATTTACAGAAAACTATCCTCTTCAAACGAGAAAAAACGTGTGATAAAAATATTTACAATATTCTTAAATTAAGCGACAGTGCTATTACCACGGTATCACACCACCGCCCATATGACAGCACGCGAACAGAAACAGAGCGAATGCGTAGTTCTCCTGTTGGCGCACCGTAAAATCCCTGTATGTTAGTGACGTCAAAACGACACACTGCCAGTCTGCATTCTCGGCGAGAATCACGAATTGCAACTTGTATCTGTATCTGTAAGTCCAATATTAAAATCAGTACTAACAGAGAATAAAACAATAAATTGCAGCACCGGTGCAATTTGATTTAACTTGGACATTTACTGAATATTAAAATTCAAAATGATAAATATTATTACACGGTGCAAACTGTAATTATGGAAAATAAAATTACTTAATTTATTAAAAACATTGTAAACTAGTGCCTTATATTTAAATATTCATTGATTTCTATTTTTTTTTAAAATTTGAGTCGTTTAACTGCTGTGGCAATTTTTGTTCTGCATTTTAACAGAGATTTTTTTTGAATTGTTGAGGCCTGTCGTAAACTGAGGCGCATTCGGAATTATTAAGAGTGAGCTCGTTTTACGGATTAACTGAAAGTTTGTTGCTGAAAATAGGCACACAGTGTTAATATGTTCTGATTACGGGGGTAAATTGTGCAGCGATATGTGATAATTTTTAATATGGAGACTGAACTATGTCGTCAGTAGCAAAGCAAATTTTGAGAATTTTAATTTTTTTAAATTTTTTCTTGCGCTATGCTTTTCGAGATTTTTCCTGAGTTTTCCCTGGACGATTTAGAAGTGTCTGGCAGCTTCAAAATGCAAGCCGACTTATGGATCCACAGTGATTAATTCCGCCACTGATTGCAGAATATTTGATAATGCTGGTTGCATTTTACATTTTATGAAAACGCATATAATTGTTGAATTGCATATTTCAAAAATAATAACAAAATTACGTTTTTCAAAAAATAATGAGCTACAAATTGGAATTAAGCGAAGGGTAGTAATCAAATATAATTAATAATTTAATTAAAATTTCGCAAGATATGGGTGTTGTGTCATTGTGCCGTAGCACAGTGGCTGTTTTGATTTAATTTTTTCGATTTTCGTTGAAATTTTTGTAGTCGCAAAAAAAGCGTTGCAGCACTTGCCTATACAACAAATATATACATAATTCTGTAAATTATATAAGTAAAGGAAATATCTAAAAATGCAAAACATCAAGCAAACTGTAAAAGCTTTCTTTAAATTCAATTGTTTTAGTCCGCAAAACATCACAATTAACATCCAAAACCACGGGCTGAAATATTCCCGCTGAATTCTGAAAGGGAACGCATATGCTCGATCAGCGGAACATATTATGGATAATATTTCTGGTTAAATAATTAGCGCATAATTCCCCGGTCCATGCTGCACATATTCAATTTGCGCAACATGGACAATAATGCTTCAATGAAACCTAATTATTTATTCTTTATTTATTCGCACGTATATCGCTTTTTCATTGCCGAAAGCAAAATCGGTATAGTAAAGCAAAAGTGCCCTTTAAGCAGCCTATTTTGCGTGGACTGCCACGAAAAGTATAGTACATAATCGTAATACGCAAAAATCGATTCAGTCATAGATCGTATTAATTTAACGAATTTACACATGATAATGTATGTAACTGATCGCTCATGAATAAGTACATTGTATAAATAAGCGATAATAATTTAAAATGATTTATTGCTGCAGATTTTAAGGATTTGTATTATTTTTCGATGACACCGCATGTGTCCGCGTTAATGGTAAGAGCCAAATAGTAAAATTTCGTTTTCCTTAACGGCTGGGCCGTTCAACGTAGGTTAGTGGCTAGGGCAGTAGTTAATGTAGAATTATACGGTAGACCGTACCCAGTAGGCGCAGTAGAAAATAAAGTAGCGTAAATAAGCAGTAGTACTCGTACTTCAATGAAGCGCGCTGCAAAGCCTTCCGTACATAGGAGTTTATCAGTCGTACCAGTAGCGGGGGCCGCCAAGCCCGGCTGATATACTCGCATGTGCGGCACCGGCGAAGCCGGTTGCCGTACATGTGAGTTTATCAGTCGTACCAGTAGCGGGGGCCGCCAAGCCCGGCTGATATACTCGCATGTGCGGCACCGGCGAAGCCGGTTGCCGTACATGTGAGTTTATCAGTCGTACCAGTAGCGGGGCCGCCAAGCCCGGCTGATATACTCGCATGTGCGGCACCGGCGAAGCCGGTTGCCGTACATGTGAGTTTATCAGTCGTACCAGTAGCGGGGCCGCCAAGCCCGGCTGATATACTCGCATGTGCGGCACCGGCGAAGCCGGTTGCCGTACATGTGAGTTTATCAGTCGTACCAGTAGCGGGGCCGCCAAGCCCGGCTGATATACTCGCATGTGCGGCACCGGCGAAGCCGGTTGCCGTACATGTGAGTTTATCAGTCGTACCAGTAGCGGGGCCGCCAAGCCCGGCTGATATACTCGCATGTGCGGCACCGGCGAAGCCGGTTGCCGTACATGTGAGTTTATCAGTCGTACCAGTAGCGGGGCCGCCAAGCCCGGCTGATATACTCGCATGTGCGGCACCGGCGAAGCCGGTTGCCGTACATGTGAGTTTATCAGTCGTACCAGTAGCGGGGCCGCCAAGCCCGGCTGATATACTCGCATGTGCGGCACCGGCGAAGCCGGTTGCCGTACATGTGAGTTTATCAGTCGTACCAGTAGCGGGGCCGCCAAGCCCGGCTGATATACTCGCATGTGCGGCACCGGCGAAGCCGGTTGCCGTACATGTGAGTTTATCAGTCGTACCAGTAGCAGGGGCCGCCAAGCCCGGCTGATATACTCGCATGTGCGGCACCGGCGAAGCCGGTTGCCGTACATGTGAGTTTATCAGTCGTACCAGTAGCGGGGCCGCCAAGCCCGGCTGATATACTCGCATGTGCGGCACCGGCGAAGCCGGTTGCCGTACATGTGAGTTTATCAGTCGTACCAGTAGCGGGGCCGCCAAGCCCGGCTGATATACTCGCATGTGCGGCACCGGCGAAGCCGGTTGCCGTACATGTGAGTTTATCAGTCGTACCAGTAGCGGGGCCGCCAAGCCCGGCTGATATACTCGCATGTGCGGCACCGGCGAAGCCGGTTGCCGTACATGTGAGTTTATCAGTCGTACCAGTAGCGGGGCCGCCAAGCCCGGCTGATATACTCGCATGTGCGGCACCGGCGAAGCCGGTTGCCGTACATGTGAGTTTATCAATCGTACCAGTAGCGGGGGCCGCCAAGCCCGGCTGATATACTCGCATGTGCGGCACCGGCGAAGCCGGTTGCCGTACATGTGAGTTTATCAGTCGTACCAGTAGCGGGGGCCGCCAAGCCCGGCTGATATACTCGCATGTGCGGCACCGGCGAAGCCGGTTGCCGTACATGTGAGTTTATCAGTCGTACCAGTAGCGGGGCCGCCAAGCCCGGCTGATATACTCGCATGTGCGGCACCGGCGAAGCCGGTTGCCGTACATGTGAGTTTATCAGTCGTACCAGTAGCGGGGCCGCCAAGCCCGGCTGATATACTCGCATGTGCGGCACCGGCGAAGCCGGTTGCCGTACATGTGAGTTTATCAGTCGTACCAGTAGCGGGGCCGCCAAGCCCGGCTGATATACTCGCATGTGCGGCACCGGCGAAGCCGGTTGCCGTACATGTGAGTTTATCAGTCGTACCAGTAGCGGGGCCGCCAAGCCCGGCTGATATACTCGCATGTGCGGCACCGGCGAAGCCGGTTGCCGTACATGTGAGTTTATCAATCGTACCAGTAGCGGGGCCGCCAAGCCCGGCTGATATACTCGCATGTGCGGCACCGGCGAAGCCGGTTGCCGTACATGTGAGTTTATCAGTCGTACCAGTAGCGGGGCCGCCAAGCCCGGCTGATATACTCGCATGTGCGGCACCGGCGAAGCCGGTTGCCGTACATGTGAGTTATCGTCGTACCAATGTGAGGGGCCGCCAAGCCCGGCTGATGCTCGCATGTGCGGCACCGGCGAAGCCGGTTGCCGTACATGGTTATCATCGTACCAGTAGCGGGGGCCGCCAAGCCCGGCTGATATACTCGCATGTGCGGCACCGGCGAAGCCGGTTGCCGTACATGTGAGTTTATCAGTCGTACCAGTAGCGGGGGCCGCCAAGCCCGGCTGATATACTCGCATGTGCGGCACCGGCGAAGCCGGTTGCCGTACATGTGAGTTTATCAGTCGTACCAGTAGCGGGGCCGCCAAGCCCGGCTGATATACTCGCATGTGCGGCACCGGCGAAGCCGGTTGCCGTACATGTGAGTTTATCAGTCGTACCAGTAGCGGGGCCGCCAAGCCCGGCTGATATACTCGCATGTGCGGCACCGGCGAAGCCGGTTGCCGTACATGAGTTTATCAGTCGTACCAGTAGCGGGGGCCGCCAGCCCGGCTGATGCTCGCATGTGCGGCACCGGCGAAG